TTCGGAGTTGCTTCAAGAAACTATGGGTATCGATGTTCTCGAGGGTATCCGGAGAGTCGGGATTACATACATCGCGAGCGGTGTCGAGGAAGTTGGTGTGTCGACAGTTCTTAAATAAGCGCTGCTGAGTTTCTTCCACGAGTGTTCAATAATGGCCAACTCTAAGTCAAGAAGCCCAGTTTCGAAACGGCTCTGGGGCACGATGGAAATATACTCTTGAATGGGTGAAAGAGTTCCGTCTTGTGATAGTCCCTCCTCTCGAAAATATGTATGAATGGTGACGAGACGACTCAACACGTCTTGAATATGGTTGACTGTACGTTTATCGATAGGGCCATTCTCCGCAATGAGAATCACAACTGATTTTCCACCATGTTGGGAATCCTCAACGAAATGGGAGGCTGCTGCGACAACCTGTTTTTGCGCTCTCCAAACACCGATAGAAGCGAGGCTGTCCAGGATTTTGGCCTCGCGGATACGGACGGGTGAATCTAGCTCACATTTCTCTTTAGAATTAGCTTCATCGAGAACTCGTGAAATGAGAGCAAGGAAATTGACGTTTGGATATTGACTGGGAGTTGTTTGCGACATGTTGAAGGAGTGTTCACTTGAGAGAGAGAGAATGGTCACAACTGTGTTGCAGTGGGAAACTATCACCTCTCTGTCGATGGGTCTGCAAAAGTATTATAACTCTAAATCCTCGTAAATTAACTGTACAGTTCTGATCTGGAATTTCCTCCAAGTTTGCTCTACCTTCGTCTAAGTCATTCTCGTCATTTCATGTAACAAGCCTGCACTTATCCAGATAAGAGCTTTACATACAGTGTCATCAGCCTGGAAGCCTGGGGCCCTTGGGCCCATATTTTATTATTATTTCGAAGCCGAAAATATGTTTTCGAAATTTATGAACTTATATTTGATAACGTCTGAGCGCAGGTACGTTGCAACCATGATGATATGCAATATTTTGTGAAGTACCGGATAGATGATCACAATGTAAAGCGGTATACCCCGCCTTCATCACGAGAAACCGGTGCGTATGTTGGACATAAACACAGGGAAGGGATGGGCCTAACACCGAAGGAGAATGGTCAGTGATGTTACACCAAACAGCCAATTTAGACATGGCTGTACTCACCTCTGTATTGAATACATATTCTGTAAACACGACAAGCAAGTAACGATGAGTTCTCTTATCCTTCAAAGCTTAGACAAAACCAAGATAACTCACCGTTTAGAGGCAAGACTTTGACGTCCGCGAATAAAAGATACAGATATTTCAATGTTTCACTCTGTACCAACAAGAATGTCCATTTAGAACACCTTTGCTGACGACCGATGAGTAAGGAACGCACCATCAAAAATGTCTCCATCTTATCATCGTGCTCTACCGGGACCGCATCCACATTCATCACTCCAGCATAGCCCCCACTCTCAAGCTTGCAGTGTTTTTCGATTGCATTGAAAATCGCCCAGCCGTACTCTCGGTACTGCACGTCCCCTGTTAGTCGGAAAGCGATGAAGAGCGATTCGACAGTCTCTGGGCTGTTCAAGGGAGGTATTGAAAGCGCCAGTCAGTTGCTGAACAAAGCCGAAAAATTCTAAGAAAGTTGGATACCGTAAGATATAACGAGCGTCAAAGGGCGTAGGGCCGCCTGGGCTAATAATGCCAATTCGTCAGTATATGGTTTCGTTGCATATGAACAGAGGTCGGCGGAACGTACCGAGCTCCTTTGATATACCAATCTGTAGGCATATGGGCAAGCTGTTCTAGATTATCGTTCTGTGTTCTGAAGTGTGCGATCTCCGGTGACAACCCACTGTACAATCCGCCCATACCCCAGATCCTCAGTGTCAATATGATGGACCATGGAACAGCATTAAGGGAGTAGAGTATTAACGTACGTTTGGGTATCATGCGTGGCCATGCATGTCCTTATGAGCTCGATGCCCGTCTTCCAGTCGCGCTTTCCTTGCTCTGTAAGTTCTTCTGGGCGTGGTGGGACAGACACGGGATGAACGAGTGCTCCAGAAGTGGTGGCGCCTAGCATAAGTGAACCCCCGAGGAAGCAGACGAGATGATCTTGCTTTGGGACGAGACGCCATTGGCTATAGGAGCATAAATTAGCGAGAGGAAATCGAGCGTTGACATGATAATCCGCGAGGGAAAGGACTCACAGTCCTTGGCCTTTACGCTCTGGCACAAGCTCAGCAGTGTAGGTGAGACTCGATGACGGACTGATCTGCACCAGATGGTCATGTATACCTGTCATTGCATCGTCGTACATCTACTCTTTGTGCATTAGCAACCATGGCCTTCTCTGCATAGTGGGATGGGCAAAGCATACCTCGCGGTAAACGCCTTCAGTTTGATTCTTTCGAATCTGAGTGAGCTATCCATAAAAACTAAATCCACCAGATTTAAACTTACTGTCTGAAGGTACTGTTTTCTGATGGATAGTTCATATATACGATACGAATATACGATGAAAATTCTCACAATAGATACTCGTAGTATGAATCACCACGAGAACCCAGACGTATCGCTGACGTCGCAAAACGGCCATCTTGGCTACCAAAAGCATGAACGCTCCCTCAACTACTCCGCGTGTATCAGTTATGAAGGATGATGACTCACGTCATGAATATTGATGCTAACCCGTGCGACATGCGCGCCTGTTTGATAACTGCCATGACCTGCGATTATTCATATAACAAAAAGGTAAACCCTAAGACAGCATATTAGGCCTCAAGTCACTTACCCGCTCGGCCTTCTCCCAGTATATATCTTCGTCTGTCAGGAAAGCAAGGTAGCGGAACTCAAGTTGGAGTGTTGCGGCTTCAGCAGTACTTATCATGCCACTATTGTCCTTGTCAGGAACACCCTCCATCTCGGCGAGGTTGACGAGTGAGAGTGGGAGGCCAGACTCGGTATCAAAGGCCGGGAGAATGCGGTTCCCCAGTTCTGTGGCTTTCTCGAGATATAGGGGATCCTGCCCTGAGAGGTGGTACGCGGCAAGGAGACCCCCAAGGACGCGAATGGTAGTCTATGGCACAACAACAGAGCAGTCAGTATCGTTGCAGACTTAAACTAGAAAAGAAAGAGGATTCGAGGCAGACCGACCTCGAAAGTGCTGAATGGTGCATCTCTGTCGAAGGACATGTCGTTGGCTACCCACAACTTGGCACGCTCGTACTCGTCGGGAAGGCCCATGATGAGCATGGTGTCGATAGAGTCCACAACTGTATATCCAATGCCGCCCGGCTTTGTCAAGTTGGAGCCTTGATGGCTAATGGGATGATACTCATCATCACCCATTGCGTCCCTCTCTGATTGAGTTAGCTTGATTTGCGTGTTTATTTATACGTGAATATATACCATATGCCGCCCATGCGTACTGAAAGGATGCAGGACAGTGTTGGGTGCATAACACGTGTTGTGTACAGAAAGCGAAACGCACCTTGAACGCTTCTACAACAGCATCACGTTTGAAAATGTCTGCTGAGAAGTCCACTATACTATCTGGTCTGGTCCCATGCAACGTCTCGGATTCCGACAGCCCTAGCCAGTCATGGATAAATGAAGGGTACTATATTCGCACAGGTGAAGTTCAATTCTATGCATATTGTAGGAGGGGTCGAACACACCTGGTAAGCAGCGAACGCGATGACAAACAGAATAATGGCATAAAAGCCTCGCGATGTCAATTGATTTTTTGGTTCACTGGTAGCTTTTACCTGTCATACAGAAGAAATGAGCCTTCCAAACGGTCCTTCGAGCGAGCGATTGACATGAACCTCTGAGACATCTTGTTGGGTTTCTGTTGCATCCTTTTTTCTCTGTCGTAGCTCAGACATGGCTTTGACAATGAAGTGCTACAGCACTGTATGTGGTGGTAGTGAGCTACTCTTGTCATTACGGCCCTATGAGCTCTATACCCGAAACCTCCACGCGTACCGTGCCACTGAATTCCCCCGGTCACGGAAATTCGGTGCTTCTGATCCATACTATCGATCTGCATACCTGTGGCTACCTTGCAAAGCATCCACAACGAACAACGCAAATACAGTGTTATTACCGTCTTACTAGCATTTTGTCAATGCTATGAACATGTTTTTGTGGACAACGCCGGAGTCGAACCACAGCTGACGCCTCCCAGCATTACTTCTGGAATTACAAAGAACCACAGTCGAATGTGACTACCTATGACGTTCATTCACAGACGTGCGTTATCTTTATCTGTTCACTTTGAAGCTAGAACTCACCGATAGCGCATGGCGATTCAGACTGGCATTTTGAGGTATCGAATAAAGAGAGGCATCGAGAAAAATATTGGGCGAAGACAATATATACCTAATGGTCTAACAGTCACCAAGCTTCCACTTACGTTAAATGGAAAAATATTGAAGGAACTCAGAGGACACAAGGATGCAACGTGCTCTAACACGCGTTTAGAGAACGGACTCATCGCACAATGACACAGGGACCAGATATAATCGTAATAGAGTAGGACACTCCTTACGTCGTGATTGTCGACCTCTTCATTGATGACTAGGACAACCTAACTTTGTCCGTGATCTATCCTGAGATTCCTAGTTGCACCGAGCTTAAGTGGTGGCCGTCTTTTCAAGTTCCGTTATGCCTAATACTCAGTTTGTCTTCGAATCGACTTGGCCTTGCTATCTCAGCTACATCTCGTGGTGCCGTTAATTAAAAAAATGCTACACATTATGTTCGCTGAATTTCACTTTTCGTGCAGGGAAACCCAGTATTTGGTCGAACAGGGCGTGGGGTTATCAGATGAGAATGGCGATACAGCGATACAATGGCATTCATCGCCTCGTTCATAACACATAGCAGGTCGCACTCAATTCCTTGTTCGCCTCCCATCACCATGCTCCACCCTGCTGATGTTTACATATGGATTTATTGCCGTGCATTTCCTATCATTCATACTTTTGCCCCAATCATGCTAGAATTACATTTCACATTTTGTTTTAATTTGCTGGTCAATTTGATTTGATATGGCCTCTTCACATTTTGCGTCTATCCCGTTACCAGCCTCTGCAAATTCTGCGAAGCTTGGCAACTTCGACAGGGAAGTCTACCTAGTGGTTAAGTGTCGATTGGGAGGTCTTCCCAGAAGGTACGATATACGAGGTTAGACATGCTCGGCAAGGTTGTCATTTCGCTGAATTGCCTTTGTACTGTAGCATGACGCCTGGGTAACAACTCAGTCCCATGGAGCTGCACCGAACTCTCCAGGATGATCTCAAAACCACTGAACTATATCCAGGCTTTAGCTCAGGTGCGAAAGATTACGGACACAGAAGCAAAACGAGTTACCCCAGCACGAAATCTACTCTCTTTTCTCGAGTCAGAAACATGCCAGACGTCCTATAAGTCCAACTGATAAAACAGTTCGTCTTCACAAAGGCACGAATGCATACCAGTAGTGAAACTCCAGCATCCCTCCCGCTCACTGCACACACTCTCAAATGCGGAAAAGGAGGCCGGTTTTACTCAATTCTACCACGGATGCAACGCTGTACAACTAAAAGCCATCCCGAGTTACTGCACTATATGCCATCTACTTTTGACAAAGCTCACCTCAAAACGGTATGCTACGATGATGAGACGGATGACGAGCTGGAAGCATCGCTTCGAACGGCAACATTTGGCGTTTGACATTCTTCCACCCGAGCAAGAGCCTAGAGGCAAGGTCAAGAGTACGATATGGATATGTACCATATCCATTGGTAGTGTGCTTCTCACTTCAATTAGTGCATTCAAGGACGAACACCCAAGTTCCCCAAGTTCATGTTTTTCATCAAAGCAATATTGCTATATTTGAGAAACCAGACAAGGTCGACCACCAAGAGGTGGGCCTGGATATATACACACCTCAGACCTTAACGTCGCAACGAGTCACTTATAATTTAGAATAGTACTAGATTTTGCGTCAAAGAAATACATCCTCTCGAATTAACGGTCATTGGCTTCTTTGCTTCGAGTGTTTCGCAATCAGATGTCATCATCAGTCCCGTCCCCCTTCAGACAATGCAGACAAAGCTATTACCACAAAACAAACATCGCTGAACAGCTTCCAGTAGCTCTGTTACAATCCAACTACGTGCCGCCACAGGTAGCCAGTCCGAGCCGCTTGAAGAACTCTGTGAGGGGGACAACAGTGCCTTGCGACTACACCCTATACACGTCCGAACCACAGGAGTCGATAGAATGAAAGAAGTTACAGAACACCGAGCTGGATGTATCGTTTGCTTTCAGTAATTGTATGTTCAAAACAAGGTAGCCACCCACCCCATGTATGACCGTTTGGGCATATCGCAGCTGTGATATCCTGTAGTGGCACTTCGACGTGGCATGCTGGGCAGAGCTCGTGGAGCCCGGCTGTAGTTGGGTCTACCGCAACATTTGCACTAACACTTGCTGATAATCTCTGGGCTTCCGCCGAGAGATCAAGGGGTGAGCCCGGGAGAAGGGATTGGACTACGATTCTTAAAACGAAAGGAACGTCGGATGCTACCGGTGTTAGTTGCATAAGCGTTCCATGTCAGGCGAACAAATCTGATAATACTTACCCACTAGGATCGATATAAGTGCTGAGAAATGGTGCATCAAGATCCGTAGAACGCGGTGTGAGATGGTGTTCAGGAGGATTTGAGCGACTTGGCCACATTGTGCTTGCATCTGAGGATCTTTGCATAGCTTCTGCAATGTCACAAGTTACGGGATGGACAACAAATAGGATCACGAGTTAGAGGATTACCCAGCATAGATCTGCCACTGATAATCTCATGCGCGAGGACAGCAGGCCGTCCCACCCGAATAGGTGCGTCTTGAAACTCTTCCTTAGCCTTGCCTTTAATTCTGGGACTAATTCTCCCGACCAGGGCGATATGTCAATAGAAGCTGTATCATCCGCTGGGATCTGATGTAGAATTTCCAATATGCGAGGGCAAAGTTGAGGAAAACTCCCGGTTTTACAAAGATGTAAGAGCGTTGGACGCAATTGATAAATAGGGGCACTTCCACGCGCTTCCCTCCGACAAGCCCGTATCAACGGTCAAATCTGATAAAAAAGTTCAAATTGACACACCTTGACACACATTGCTCAATGCTTCTTCTAATATTTTGAAAACAGTATCGTCATCTAGATTCCACAGTGGGGCGGTGACGAATGTACTATTGTGTCTGGCCTCGTGTTTGTAACTAAAATCCGCTGGCCGCAGAGCCCTGTAATTTGTCCGTTAGCTCCATAATATGTAATGCGTGATAAGAAGAGTGGTATACTCATAAACCCAGATGAAGGTGGAGAACCCATCATAGGATGCCATACCACTGATACGACTGACGTCCATGTGCCGGACCCCAGGAGTGACGTGAGCAAAGATTGATCGTGAAACCTTGGAAAGCATGTCTGTATGTAGAGTATCATCGGCGGTTGGTGGGGACCAAGACGGATTGATTGAAAGACTATGGACGACATGAAAGGATCCATCAAACAGAGACAAAACAAGGGCATCTTGCATGCCGACATGTGTTAAACCTGATACAGGGTACAATGCAGAGGACGCAACGGATATCTTTTGCGTCTGCAGGACTAAGACACGCGAACCAGACCACTTAGATGATGGACTTGGAGAAGACCACAGATGAATGATACCCGATGTGCAGGACACTAGAATAGGCTACAAAGAGTGGTAAGTGATATGATGATATAAGATAGGAGTAAATGACTGACACTCCGTCCACGAAGTTCTATCCATGCTAGATCTGTTATACTCCGTTTGTCTGCTTCGCAAACTTTTGGTGATATAATTTCGCATGTAACATTCACCATAAACTCTGCCCCGAATTTGGAAGTAGATGGTGATAGCTGTAGAGATTGAGTCACTCTCACTAATCCAACACCGCCATCATCCGTGCTGTATGCCAAATAAGATTCACCTGACGCCCAAAGTTATTTTAACCGGAATACGTCAATTAATGCTAACTGACATTGGCCAGGATGTTCTAATGACCATGGCGACCATGCTAGATGGGTGATCCACCGTTCACTCAGCTGAATAGTCTCTATACGTGAGACATCTCCCTCAAAGTCCCCTACTTGATTGAACCTAAAGGTATCATTGACTAACTAAATCATTTTCAAAGATATAACATGCGTACCTGAGCAATGTTATGCTCCCAGCACGATTTCCTAGAGCAAGGATCGATGTATCTAAGGAAGGAATCGGGGCAATAGCGAAGTTGGGTTGTTTGGACCATGAAATACCTACACCACGTCGAGTTGGAACATTGACAGTATATAAGCAGTTGAGGCGGTACGTACACATCGTCTGAGCACAGAGAGCTTTAATCAGGGTCGATGAGCTCTCTGGTAATGATATGGAGCTCAAGAGAAACGATGTGACGTCTTGAATCTAACAATGGCTTCTAGTGGAAAGAAAAATACCAAGTGACAAACCTCACCTTCAGCCATTCTCCTTTTAGGTGGTTCTTCGCAGTAGTCCATAGGGACACTTCCATGTTAGAGTTCAGGACGGCCAATACACACCTAGACGTAGAAAGCGTTCTCAAACCGAGATGATTTTATCAGATAGGTAATAATAATACCTGCCTCGGGAGGTGATGTTACTTGGAGAACACGACACGGCGCGGAGAGAGACGTCTAGAGAACCCAAACTTGTAGCTGCCCAGTCTTCAGAAAGCAGATGAGTTGCTTGTGCAAAAGACAACGTCAGACAGCAAACCTGGAGAGATTTCGGGCCAAGAGTGGGCCTGTCCCCTAGTAGTCTCGATCATTGTTTTGAACCAACCTAGAGGTCGACCACTTTGCTCGTCTCCTGCTGGGGCCTTTACATCAGCAGGTGTGTTGAAGTTGATCCCGGGGTCTGGCGTCTTTGACGAATAAATTCAGCGCGAAGACAACATGGTGGATGAGAAACACACTAGGATGTGTACCGCTGACTTTGTGATGAAGCACGCTTGGCCATCCTCGGACCATTGCATGCAGTTGATAGAAGGATGTGGTGTAAGCGTTGGCACATGCAAAGCCGTGTAGATCGGTGAGGCCGACATGGGTCGGATGTGAAAACTGTGGATCGTACGTGCTAGAAAATGAGTCTTTCATGCGATCATGTCTGTGTGCTACATGACTTACATGTGTAGTGAAGTGCAAAGGGCACGCGGGCGTTGACATGTACTGACAAGCCTGGGGATGAACGTGAATGCGACAGGGTGGTCCGACATACTACACCATATTCGCGGAGATGAACTGAGTACTAACACTACGGTAGGCGGGCCTTGAACCGAACTGCAGCTCTGCCGGTCTGCCGATCCCTATCTTTAAATTTGGCGTACTTGGGCACTTGAAGATAGTATCTCGTTCCTATCTACCACATCCTGCAATCTAACAATGGCCATCGAATTAACTCCTCTTCCTCTCCCTGCCTCAGCTGACCCGTCTAAATTCTCTGACTTTGGTCGTGAGGTAAAGGGTATCAACCCGGGCAGTCTTTCAGAAGATGATTTCGCTCAGCTCCGTGATGCGTTATACAAGGTGAGAAAGGGTCTAGCTTCAGTCTACAGGATAGTCATAGTGATGGACTCTTACTACCACGCATTTTTAGCACGATGCGCTTCTCTTCAGGGATGTCACTCTCACTCCGGAGCAACAGTATGCCTTGACAAAGGTAAGCCGCCATCGCATTCAATGGCCATCAGGAGAACTCACACGACCGTGACCACACTGACATCCAGGCATTCGATCCGGAATCTGAATCCTACGGCCACGGAAATAATAAGACTCAATCCACTAAGAAATCGATTCTTCACCCTGACCTAAAGACAATTCCTCGTGTTCCGCAGGTCCAACTTATTGGCAACGGTACTGTCACAAACCACGAGGGCCTCGCTTCTGCAGCTCTCAAACACCCGTCCCACACTTTCTTCCACAAGACCCACGTCTCCGAGGAAGACTCAGCCGCCGGCATCACTCGTTTCTACCGCTGGCACATTGATGCAGCGTTGTATGAGCTCCGCCCACCTCGTGTCACAACGCTGTACGGCATCACAGTCCCAAATGGTGCCAGCCAGACCGTACGTTATGATGATGGTACTGGAGACGAACTCTCTGTTCCTCTCGGCACAACTGCGTTCGTCTCGGGCCACACTATGTTCGAAATTCTTCCGCCTGGGTTGAAGAGTCTTGCTGTCCGCTCGAAAGTCCGCTACGCACCTCATCCATATGTGTGGATGGGAGCCGCCCACGCTATGCCCACTGGCTTAGGTATCGAAAATGAGGGTCTCGAGTTACCCTTGGATGAACTCCCGTCGTGGGAGGCGTCCAAGGTGATGACGCTTCCTGTGGTCCGTATTACACCCACTCTCCCATCGTTAACTTGCTGATGGTTCCTACGCAGTTATGGAAAAACCCAGTCACAGGAAACTTGCACTTCCAAGTTCATCCGTGCGGTGCTGCAGAGTTGCTCGTCGACCCCCTTCCCACAGGTGCAACCCACGAGGGTGCTCTTTACCCCGATGGTGCACACATCAAAGATCTGAAAGAGGTTAGGGAGCTCCTATACAAGATGCAGCGGCCCGCTATAGCACCAGAGGTCAATGTCTATTTCACTATTTCGCCGAGTAGCCCGCTAAACGAACCTTGGTAGCTGGTATACCCCCATGACTGGAAGGAACGTGATCTTGTCTTGTTCCATAACCGCGGTGTATTACACACTGTTGTTGGTGCATTCAAGCCCGATCAGGTTCGCGCTTTCCACCAGTGCAACCTCGCCGCTTCTGATTCCCCTGCCGGTCCCACCGATGAGGACGTGAAGAAGTATGCGTGAGTTGTGTCCATAGTTGTTTGCAATGTTCCGTCTTTCTGTCTTTCCTTGGAACTTCCTATCTGTATTTTAGGTATTCGTGAATCGTGGTGCTAGGTTACCATCATTCAAATGTCTTGTACACCGATTATCTGTATCCGCGATCATGTACGATTCTGTCTGGCAACATGTATCGTACATCTATGAATTATCTTGCAGTTGCAGTTGCAACCTAAATCTTATTTTAAAACGGTTCGTCCATAGAGCCTAAAGCATGGTAAAGATTTAGTAGTCTAGCTAATTATGACAACCAGTTGAGAATCTGAAAAGAAAAGACAAGAATTACAAGAGACTAACTACGCATCGTACCTATCCTAAGTGTATTTTGGTAAGGAACGTAAATAATAGATGACCAGAGAGATCCAAGAACATAGTAAATAATCCGATCCAGCATGTACATAGAGCACCATAGATAATAAACTCCTCATCCAGGGAGAAAGACGGGGGAAAAAAGAAACAGAGAAAGCAAATTACCAGTTTCGTATACGAACTACCTCATTGTTTTTGTTGTGTTAGTTGAAAGTGTATCACTACAGCTCGCCATCCTCCTCCCAATCATCTTCGTTGCCCGAACGAAAAGCTGGCAGGTGAATATGGATACTCGTCTGGAGAACCTTTTCGAAGCTTCACGAAGGCTGAAACAGCTTCTGATTCATCATCACTTGATGTGGACTTTCCGTTGCCGATGATGTTGCAAGATTTTGGGGAAGTATGCTCATCACCATTAAATGGCTCCTCGCCACTACGATTGGCCACTTCGTTGTCCTCCTTCCCCCTAACCACGAACTTTTTGACGTCGTTGGTATCAACCTTTGAGGGAATGTAGTGATCAATACCATCTGGCTCATCGATGGGACTACGGCGCACGTCGTAGACCAATCCCGGACGCGCCAAAACGGACCGCTCGTCCTGAAGCCTGTTGCTTTGTGGGGGGATGGATTTTAATCCGCCAGCGTTCGAGTTAGGTTTCACTTTAGACGGAACATCGTTGTTATCATCGTCCCCCTCACTGTCGTCTCGTTCCCGAAGGAAAAACTCCTTGGCAGTCTGGAGGCTAGGATTAGTCTTCCGGGGAATATTTTCACCGATGTTATTTGGCTTTGGGATACAACGAGGCGCATCAGCGACCCATCCCTGTCGCCCTCGGATGTAGTCGTCGCGCTCAAGGTTTCTACCCCTTGGAGGAGCCAGATCAACTTGAGATCCATTGTCACTCGAAGGAGACCTCGATCCACCAGTACGCCAATAAGCAGATGCATCGTTTTCGATACTGCCTTTCCTCCTATTGTCTTCCTTGCGTATCTCGGGGGCATGATAAGTAAGGTCAGGTTCATCATCGCTGTAAACCTCACGCGTGTGATAAGTCCGCCCCGATGATCCTGTGAAGTTTCCTTCGTTGTTGACATTACCCCACACCTTGTCAAAAGCGGGAATAGTCTGCCACCCACTGCCACTCTGAGTAGATTTTACTTTGTCGGGCATCCTACGAGCAACGTTTTTCCCCTTGTTGTCCTCTTTTCCCCGCGCGGGAAGCGGATAGTCAAACCCAGTCCCCTCGTCATAGACAGCACCACGCATATTATGATAACCCAGGAACGGTCTACCCGTGTGGTATTCCTCAGCTTGGCGGTCGTATGCCCGTATCTCTCTCCTACCCTCACGAAGCTTCACGAAGGCCGAAACAGCCTCCGTTTCATCACCGATCGAGGTATACTTTGCATTTTCAACCGTACTAACAGCAGTGTCGTTCCAGTTGTCGCCAACATCGCCCGCTTCGGATTCAGACCTATCATCTTCAAGTTCATCTTCGCTGCTAACGTTATGCCTTCTTTGAGACCGCGTCAAGTCGCCGGAGCCGGATGCCCGAGCTTCTTGTCTGCCCTCCCGAAGCTTCGCGAAGGCTGAGACGGCTTCCGACTCGTCATCACTTGGGCTGGAACTCGGTCCGTCAGCAGTGTTCCACTTAGCAACGGCAGTGTTCCCCATACTATCTTCCTCGTCGCTGCTGACATCACGGCTTTGATAGGCCCAATCTGCTTTCGTCATCGAGCGATTAGAGTGGGAAGTCTGAAGGTCGTCATGACTATAGTGATCTGTCCCATTACCTTCATCCGCATCGTCTTCCATGGAGGTGCGGAGGGAAGACACAGCGATGTTTGTGTTGTTCATAAAACAGGCTGCTGTGGGGCTTCGATAATGCGTGGTGAGCGTGGGCGAAGAGGGGTAGGAATATGTACGTGGGACGACTATATTCATGCTACGCGGAGGGGGACGAGAAGACGAAGCACGAGGTGGTGGAAGGGTGGCGATGGGAGGTATCGCAGTGGATGCATGGCTGCTGCGAGAGGGATGTGCGGTGGTGCGGCGTGAGGAGCGAGCGCTTTGAATAGGGGTCGACCGGTCGGAGGTGCTAACAGGAGTAGAAGCGCCTGCCGGTGGTGCAGCAGTACGTGCACGAGGGGGATCAGTCTCAGTAGATGTTTGCGAGGATGATTCTCCCTTGTGCACCCTGAGATGCTGCAAAAGGTTATCATGTCGGTTGAAGCGCTTGTCACACATCGGGTGTGTACATTTGAAAGCTAGCAGAGCAAAACGAGTTCGAAGACCGCTCCCAACGAATTAGGGGAAGAAACTTACGTTTCTCATGGGTGTGTATTGACCTAATGTGACGCTTGAGATGTTCACCACGACTAAAGCATTTCCCACAGCCTTCGACCTTGCAAACGTATACTCTTCCTGCCTTCTGCTTAGTCTCTGTGTCGCCTTCTTCAGCTGCGAGTTTTGTCGGCACACGCCGCCCGCGACTTTTCTTGGTTAGATTGGGAACCGGCACGGGTGGAGCAGTCCTGATTCGAGGGCCACGTCGCTCGGAAGTGAAAGAGGATGCGGAAGTGTCGAGAAAAGTGAAGTTGCCTGGAGTGGGGGACCCTTCTGTCTTTGTGTCCTGAGGTATCTCTGGGACGTCCTGATCGTCAACCTTGGTCGTCGAAGAAGACATGGAAGACGTGATTGCAACGGCAAGTTTTGGATGTTTTGAAGAAACGGCGTCGTGTTCGAGCTCGACATCGGTGTCTTCATCTTCAGCTCGTTTATCGACGGTGCGTTTGAGAGAGGGGGGAGAGGGAGAGTTGTGTAATTTGTCCGGGTCGGCGCCGGGTTTACCGCCACGGGCTTGAGAGCGAGTCATCGGCCGATAAGAGTTTGAGGAAGAGGAAGAAGACCTTGCAGGGATGATGATGGTGTTCTGGCACGTTCGTTTTGGTTCGTAAAGGGTTGGAGACAGCAGTCAACATCGAAATGATAAGAGATCAGAGGAAAGCTATAGTCACCTTTACGCGGGCTGTAATCACGTCCGTTTCGTTGATGACATCTTCTACATCTTGCACTGCATGCACTTGTTCACCCACCGCCATCTGTAAGTCTGCCATGGAGGGTTAAAAAGGAAAACTAGAAGAGAAAAAGAGAGTCAACGCAAAATCATCAGCAACGACTCGCCCCGCGCCTATAAATGAGGAAAGAATCACAGTGAAAAGATGAGCTATGTACAAAATGAGATTGATGACCGAGGCGACGAAAAGCGGGAGTGTCGTGGTCGCTGTTGGTGTCGATGAGCTCGAGGATGCGCTGGCAGATGAGCAGAGAGTAATTGACGAGCCCCTGTCTCTTCGCGGATGCAAACCGTATGTCCTCTTTTTTTTCTCCTTCGCACGATCAAAGGTCACGCCACGTGGTCCACCAGGGACCATGGTCCCGCTCTCTGGTCCACCCTTGGCCAAACCGAACAGTGTGCGGTACTACCCCGCCTCTGTGCTTTATACCCACTCGTGAACGCTCCTTGCATTGACGTCCGTGTGCTGCAGACATCATTCACCACCTGGCTGAACTGCTTTTCCGATGGCATCCCGCGAATCGTTCTAGTTCGACGCAGCAGGCCCCAGGTCGCATCTGCCAAATGCAACGCGGATGCTGTCCTCAGAACAATCCCTCGACTGGTAAAAAAGCACGCGTCTTCACGCGTTTCTTACCCCGCATCGAGGAACAGCGAGCATCAATATTATTTTCTTTCTCGGGTATGTTAGGCCTTCGCTCGTTCCAAGATAGGCCGCCTCTGCTCCTCCTCTCCTCTCTCCAAATAAAGACCGCATCTATGGGCAGCGATAACGCAGAAGAGGAAGAGCCCTGGTCTTGCGATCCGCCTCTGTGGACCGTCTTCTCTAAATCAAAGTTCTCAACGCGCTCCTCCCGAGCCGCCACTAGGGTTTATAACTAACGCCTCGATCAGCACTTTATCTGACCCCATCATGCCCCATTGACGTGGTTAGCGCTATTCGTGCGCCACTATCTTTAAGGAGAGACCAGTACCGTCAGAGCCCTTCGAGGGTAGACTGGCTCACTCCACCGGGTATCTCATTCATCCTGAATAAAGCAAGCTCATTCGCATAACTAGGGCCTCTCAATCGACCACGGAACCCCCGCTGCGGTGACTCCACTCTGGCATCTCTTGCCGATACAGGTTCTCGTTTTCGTCTTCGGCCTCCTCTATCGGCTCGTCAGCATCTCATGCATACCTTCCCACCACGCATCGCCTTGTATCCACGAACGGTATGTCAGAAACGAATGCGGGGGTCTATCTCGCTTTCGCATCCTTGACATTGTCACATTTCGGTCATCTCACTTCATTTTGCGTATGCGGCCCATTGTACCCAGGACCTTCTTTGACTAAAAATACCGCACCGCCATTCTAGTCAATGCCTTCCTTTGGGCGTTGGCATATTGCTCAAAGAGGTGAATTCTGCTGTTCAAATGCGGCTGATGGTGTTTTCATACCATTATCCGATCCGCGGCAAGAGTCATTTGTGTCTGCCATCGTTCCCATGCACGGAAAGCCTGGGTAAGGAAAGGCGGTATGATCACACCCAGAGTTCCAATGACATCTTCTCTGTCTGTTTCATCCCAAACAGTGAATCATGTATCCCGCGACATGCCGCGGAGTATGCGGTAGAGGATAAGCCCGCCTGCGGTTGATGCTTACGCTCTCATCCTCGCTAGTTTTTTACGGTATGTTCTATCGTAACTTCCATTCTGTTCTTAACATTTGGCTGCCGACTTTCCTGGTTCGTCTCGGGGAAGTATGGCAAAGAAGGTTATTTTCGGCATTCTCCTTGTAGGTATTATTCCAGAAGCTTCGCTGTCGTAGGAAACTCGCCGTGCGCGGGCGTGAAGTCAAAGGTTATTTTAATCATTGCAAGACGTTTGCGTCCTGGCTATCAAGGAATGAGCCGGTGACATGCTCGGGTTCATCCATTTAATTTCAATTTGAGTTCTGGTATTGACAAATGTGGTTTACCTTCTAGGTTAACGAAATGCTAAGTATGGAGATGTCGAGCCAGGTTTCAGTCGCATAGAGTAATGCCGTGCATGGCAGTTGCGGCCGCCATACCTGTTTGATGCCTAGTTCGAGTGGAGTCAAAAAGTGAATTGAGCGGCAGCGACCAGCCCGTGAAGGGTAGAGAGTAGACAAGATTGAGGAGGTGGACTGTTTGGGTGTGTCAGATTGAGGAATGGTAAGCCTCTTATTTGCCGCGAAGAGGCGGGCAGGCAAAGAAACGCCCATTCGGTGGCGCAGAGGTCTACAGCAAGTACGTGTCGCGAATCGGATCCGCTAATATCGAACTGCGGTAGTTGTGTTGATATGAGGGAAATGAGAGGTAATGATCCGTGATCCGTATTTGGATGAAGTAGGGAGAGTGAATTCTGATTGACAAGGACGGTACCTGGTATGGTGGGGAGTATGATGAAATGGATAGCACGCCGACGGGGCAGTTGGAGGGTAGTGTGGGTGGTGGAATAGGCTCTGATCGACTTTGGAGATGGGGAGGGTGGGAGTAGATGAAGAGGTGATGGGAGGATGCGGCATTTACGTTGTGTGGGTGATACCCGTGGGCGATATGAAGACTAGAGGGCAGTTTATTTTGCGGGTTGTCTATATGGGGAGCGAAGGGAAGTTGTGTGGGATTTAATGAAGATAAGGCAGGGTAGACATGTGTAGCGTAGAGACGACTGGAATGGCATTAGTGATATGGGGACATAAGGGGGTGGTCCACGGGTCTTTGGCTGTGGACCGGTGGACCGTGAGATGAGATGGTTGTTAAGGATTGGCGGTAGCCTCGTGCTACGGTCACCGACGATGCATGTTCGTTTCTGGCTGATTGTGGCTGTCATTTGAGCACCTCCCACAGAGAACTTCCCATTTGGTAGGAACACACCCTGAGAAACACTGTAATTATATCATTTCCTTATTTCATCCTCGACTCCCTTTCTCACTTTCTTCCATATCACCTGTCCTCTTGATGGCCACAGTCATCTCCTCATAATCCCATCTTCTTCTTCCTATTCGGTGCCACCACCATTTCTTGACTGTTCTTCGTTGGCATCGCCCATTTCCTTGTTTCACCCCTCCGACTTCTCCACTCTCCGCCATTCCCCCCATTCTCACCTCTTTTTTTTTCATTTAACGACCATTAACGACCAGAACACGACAATCTCATATCACAAACTCTTAAACGATCGATCATCTCTCCATCTCCCTTGCTTTTCCTATTTTTCCCCGTTCCCTTTTCTCCCTCTTGCCTTTCCTCCTCTCTATTTCATCTCTCGATCACTTCCGCTGCCATCCGATCCCAACCTCTCCACTCGTGCGTCTCCCCATTATCCTTTCTTCCTCTTTCTTCCTCCGCTCACCACCATCTCTCCGCACCCATCGCACCCAATTTCAAAACACACAACTCAAATATCATATCCCTCGTGGAACGTTCCGGACCCAACTTATCTTGGCTCCACTACCCATTCACTAAAGATCCAGATCCCTACGCCTTGTCATTTGGAGCGTGTTTCTCATTCCTTAAAAATGCATTCGCACTCGAACTTTGCTTTTCCTTCTTCTTTTCCTTCCTCAGCCATTCCATTTTATCGTCCTCAACGCCAGTATCACTACGACTCTCAAAACATGTCTTCCTCTCCTTTCTCCCAGGTAGCCCACTCCCACTCGAGGACCGCTTCAGGCTCAAGCTTCACTGGCAGCCACTTCTCTCCCCAGTCGCCTCACCCGCCCTCTCGCTCGCTCTATCTTTCTGCTCAGCCACATCTCTCTTCCCTCCATGCCAGCTTGCCTCAGTGTTCCTATTCGCCCAATGCGGCTGCCGCTTCTGCCGAGTCGCCATTGTCTTCGTCATCCAGCAGCTCTTTTCCAAACGAAGAGTCGCCTTTGCCAGAGCCGCCCATTGAGGCCATGGAACCGCATCCACCCACTCACGTAGCCAGCGGTAGCGATGACTTTTACGCTTACCCATCACCAGATGACATCGCCGCTTCCGGTTACTCTTACGCCTTTGGAGCCACAAAACCTCTTTCAATTCCTGGCTACGCCACAGAGAATCCAGATATTTACGACCCATCTCTCGCGGCACAAATCCCTGTCTCAGTCTCAGTGCCCATGTCCATGCAGTGGTGCTACGGTACAAAGAAATTTCAACCATCCTATTCTCCACCGCAGCTTTCCCAGCGCCGCGATACTGGATCTCACCCGTATGGCAGTTCAATGTATGATCCTTCCTCTACCGCTACTGCTAATCTCCCCATGGCGTCCTCAAGTGCACCCACCTCTTACCGGAATGAACTCGATGAGTTGGATCTAACCTACCCAGGCGAAGCCATCTCTGCTTCCTATTCGTCCATCTCTCCACCTCGCTCGGCCGTGTCCCCGCAGCACATCCATCAGCGTTTTGCCCAGGCTATGCATATCAAACATGAAGGCGACCTTCATGTGCCAATCCGTCCAGACCTCAATATATACACTCCGTCTGCAACGGAGCCCAACGTTAATGGCGGTATGCAGGCATACAGTGCTCTATTTGATATGGGCCTGCACAACCCCAGCCCTTCCACGTCTGATGTTGGCACTTATCAGCATCATGCTTCAGCGGGACCGATGACCCAGTCCCACTCGCAGTCAGACTTCCAAGCTTCATTGCGATACGGCCAGGGTCAAAACGCACAGCTTTCCGCCATGGGCATGGCAATGTCGCCGGCGCCTGTTTCGCGACATCCTGCGTATCTGGGGTCATCCATTATGGACGCTTGTCATGGCACGTGTCAGGGTCAGGAAAGAGCGCAGCTGAGAGTGCAAACGCAAGAGCTACCGCAACAAAGAACGGTGAGACCAGCGGAGGTATCGCCCATATTAGCATATAGAGAGCTGCAGGAAGATGAGCCAGAAGAAGACGCCGGTGGCACGCTCAGTGGCAGTAGTGCGGAACGCGACAAGAGGCCTGTCAAGAGCGAGGAGGAGATTGGATGGCCAGAGCCGCATGGCAGGCCCAACGTGTCGGCGGCCGCCGTGGAATCTGATCATGAGCGTGACGCTGAAGGAGATGATGAAGACGCCGAAGGCGAAGAAGAAATTGCTGGTGACGACGAGTATGAATATCGCGAGGGCGATGATGGCGACGAGGATGACGACTCTGAATTTCTTCCCCACGGTCGTAGGCGAACAACGTCACAGAGCAATCGACATTTACGTCCACGGTCGTCCACGAACGCCAAGTCGCCGCGCTACAACCCATACGCGACCGCGTACGCTCAACATGCTGACAAGTTTGCATCGGAATCCCCTGTAGGCTCGCCATCCATGCTCTCGCCTACTTCACCATCGTCGAAGAAGCCGCGGAGGCACTCCAACTCTTTGCCGGTGCCAGTTCCAGTGCCTAACTTGACAAAGAAATCGAGAGGACGGCGTGTGCCTACAGTGACTACTCTCAGCGGCACTTCTCATAGCAATGTTCGAGGCGTGCACGTGCGTCCCAGCGAAAGTGCTCTCAACGGCCGGATGTTTGCATGTCAAGTCTCTGGCTGTGGCAAGCTATTTGCAAGGGGCGAACATCTCAAACGGCATGTGAGAAGTATACACACAAATGAGAAACGTGAGTTTATTATCCGCTCATATTATCACTTTTTCATTGACGATATGACTTTGTTGATTTAATAGCGCATAAGTGTCCTTACCCGGGGTGCGGAAAGGACTTCAGTCGGCACGATAACCTCGGGCAGCATATGAGGGTGCACAAAGATTATCCCAAGATGAAAGATAAGGTCGCTGAAAGGTCATGGTGAAGATCAGATGTTCGATATGATGTGCGCAGGTTCGCACTATCATTTCCTGCAGCGACGGTAAGATCCTTACCACCCTTTCATCAAGAACAATGCCTCTGCGGTGACGGGACGAGTTAGGAGCCTTTACCGATTCTTTCCGCTGTTTTTTCTAAATATTACGCTAGACGTAACCCATCTCTCGTTCTGCCACGTTTATGCTATCGCACCCCTCTCTATGTCCATCCTTTATTCTTTTTTTGTCGTTTTCATGGACTTGTGTATATTCTGTCTTATTCGTTTTACCGCTCGTCTCTCACCGTAGCGCCCGAATTCATCCTGGACCTGTCCCGCAGCGAGTAAGCGCGCGCCTGTGCACTGCTTCCTCATACCTTCATGCATGGTATTAGGGATATTCCTATGGTCTATGTAACCGCTGTTGTCCCATCACCGTTCTCATGACACATCATTCCAACGACTTCTCTCCATGCTTTTCACCGCCGTCGCCCAAGATCATATTACCCATCATCCGTGCTATTTCTGCCATCTCGGCGGCCACCATCACTGCTGCGCTGTACCTCTTCTGGTTGTGACTCTGACGACGACTCTTTTTCCTTTGTGGCGCGCACAGTGGCTCTTGCTCGGTCCCGACATGGTATAGCTGGACACCGCTTTTCCTGTTCGGTAGATGTGACTGGGTATCTGCGGCGGCTTGCCTTTTCCTTTTGGCGTCTTGGTGCGTCTCGTCGCGGAAATTAACAAACCTATCAGGTCTTCCATCTCCATCACGAACCCCTACGACTCTCTGATGCCCTCACGCTGTATTCTATCCCGCAATCAATCCCTCCTCATAGGGTTTACCTTGTAACTTCACTTTTTCGCATTGGGACAGTCACGGACGGCTATTTTCCTTTTTCTCTATCTTGTTGTCTCACACATTGTAACTGCGCAATGTAAGCTGTAGCGTATGAAAGTACGTTATGCTTGTAAAGTATGTTATGGGTTTCTGGTTTTATTAGGGGTTTTTTCTTTTCTGTGTCCAAGATTGGTTTTCATTCCAGTCTTACAAAGGCTGTATTTCCTACGTATGTAGCTATGGTATGAGTGTGTCGGCATGGCATATGATATCGGTGTCATTATTTCAAACGATGGACAGGCTCCCAGCTGACAGCTCTTGTTTCTCTGGTCCGTGGATCCTTCCAGCTGAGAAATGATCGATCGATCGATACTATGGAACGGCGGATATTGGCCAGTTCTCGGCTATTACAGCTAAGAGCGAGAACAGAAAAAAATCTTATCACGAGCTTGTGACTTGCTCAAATGCGCCCTTGTTTCTTTTGTCAGAATGTCGTAGTAGTATGATTACAAATGACGAGAGATGATAAGCTAATGGAATACATCTACAACCGGTGACAGGGCTATTCAGTCTCTTTCACACAAAAAGAGAGGGGTTCATGTATGCTTACGGGATAGGACAGCCGGAAAAAGGCACGACGAGAGGTGTGGCTGAATAGAATAGCAGGGGGATGCGAACGACGATAGATAGTAAGAAATTCAAGGAGACTCTATGGGGCGTACGGCGACGAAAAGGGAAGGCGAGAGGGATTTAACGAGGTCATGGGTACGGCCCGGAGGGGCTATGCATCGTCGGTCATGATAGCAAAAAATTCTTGCTCATTAATTTCTCCATCCTGGTCAAGATCAAATTCATCGATCATGGCTTGTCTAGGGTAAATTGGTAAAAAAAGAAACAGAAAGAAAAAAAAGGGCATCAGTATTGACATGACATGGGGGGCACACGGATAGGAAAAAGCCATTTTTATCGATGAATAGCGGTGAACAAAAAGTGTCGCAAAAAGGGAAAGGTGCGTGACAGTATGACTGTGCTCGAAAACGTCGAACTGGGTCACGGTGCTGTGCTTCGATCGATTGTTGTGCGAAACTCCACAAAGAAGGTCAAAAAAAAGGCTGGCGCAACTCACAGTTCATCATCTTCCAGTCGGTCGCCTATTTCCTTCGCTACTCTGCGAAGGTTTCGAAGACTAATTTTCCCAGTGTTATCGTCATCGAATAGCTGGAAGGCTCGGCGGATTTCGTCCATCGGATCACGAGCCAGGATCCGTTCACTCACTGCAATGGAAGATCGGGTCAGTCTGGCGGACAAGGCGCGTTGTCAAGCAAGTTGGAAATGTATGATAGAAGGTCAAAAGACACGCATGTTTGGGTATGTCATCTTTTTTTGATTTGGGATGCTCCATATTGGAAATATGGCAGGCTAGCTTTGGAGAGATAATTGAACGAGACAAAAAAGGCAATTGGACTCAACTGATTTTTGCAAAGTCTTCAAAGTCCATTAACCCATGACCTGTCTTGTCGTGATCTCGCAGAATCTTGAGGACCTCTGCCTTCTTCATATCGAATCCTAGCGCGCGCATCGCGACTTTGAGCTCATGATAATCGACGCAGCCGTCCTTATCCGTGTCGAATAGCTCAAAAGCCTCTTTAATCTCCTGCTTTTGCTCATCTGTGAGTTCTGGTCGAGGGTGCGTGCGTCTTTTTGCCTTCTGTGCTGATGAGGTGTACATTTCGCTTTGGAAGGTGATGGTGAAGATGCACTCGCGCTGAAATTGGCAGAAACAAAAACAACGGACGTCACGTTATTCACGCGTATTGGACCCCGTGCACCGCCTAATTTGAATATCACGCGACGCCGCGCCATTGCATTGACTCAGCGACGGACACCTTCCCTCCCTGCCACCATTTCTTCTTAGATATACCCCTTGAAGCACTTGAGAACTAGCTTGCAGCGAGATTCACGGGAAAATCCAGTCAGCGGTTGTGTCTCGTTATCATTGCAAACTATCACCAGCGCCAGTCAAAACTTCATACCCGACAACGCGACTATCTTGAACATGGCCCATGATGGCCTTCTGCGACTATTGCGATCGTTACTTCTCTAATGCGCATGCCTTGAGCCAGCATCTCCGTTACTCTGACAATCACAATTTCCCCTGCTGGTCTTGTGGAGTGGAGTTTTCGACCCGCACAGGTCTCAAAGAGCACTACGTTCAAAGCCGTAACCATGCTTATTGCCAATACTGTGATGAGCACTTTGAAGACCGTGAGGACCTTATCGATCACAATCACGATAACCATAGCTATTGCCCGTCTTGCAACAAGGTATTCAAGAATGATTTTGGTCTGCATGAGCATAATCGTCAGGTCCATCATTATTGTGTATCGTGCAAAAGACTCTTTGTGTCTGCCAGCAATTTGCAGGCTGTATGTATGCACTTGTTCATAATCTAGCCCTCTATCTGACCATCTCGCCTCAGCATATGAATTCGTCCACCCATCGCCCCAGAGATGTGGTGTGCCCCTTTCGCGGTTGTGCACAAGCATTTGTTTCCAAGTCTGCTCTCGTACTCCACCTTGAGTCTGGAAAGTGTCAATCAGGGGTAGACCGTCGCACCGTCGATCGATACGTTCGTGAACAGGACAGAGGGAATGTCATCACCAACCCTGCCCGCCTCTTGACGGCAATACACGGCCACGAGAGCGGCTTGGAATGGAGCATTCTTCGAATGTTACTTGTGCCACACCGAATTCAGGTCGTTGGACGCCCTGAACCAACATCTGGCCAGCCCATTCCATCGAGAGAAGGTTTACAGGTGTCCGCTGACCAGCTGCCGTGTGCAGTTCGTGACTCTCAGCGCTTTATGTCAGCATGTCGAGAGCGAAAAGTGCGGTGTGGCGAGGTTCAAATCTGTTCAAAACACTATGGACAATATGTTCAGCAAGATGGGACGATTGACCATGAATTAAGCATGTGAAGGAGGGTCATCACGCATCGCGCTTTACACGAGGCCTTCAGTTCATTCCTTCAGGCTACTCTTTTACCTTACTATTTTCCACTGTTTAACGTGCACGTTTCATGATGTCTGTCAAACTTTCCATTCTGTCAAGATCAACGTTCCTTTTTCGATCTCGTCCCCTTCTTGTCCGCCTGCCTTCAGGATAGCATGTGGAATTGATGCCTGTGGCATTTGATCTCCAATTCAGTTGTTTTCGCTTTACCGGTCCATACTTTTGCTTATCACTGGCACTTGAGTTGACCGTAACTCTCCTTAACTTCAGGTTTTGTCTTATAATTCCCTCGGGCTACTTCTTTCTGCCTATGGCTACATAATGAATTTATACGTACCCTCTGATAGTAAACATACTCGCTTAGCGCGGACCCTAAATATGGCAGAATGCTTTCTTGTAGTGAAGAGTGAACCGAGCCAAGTTAAATACTTGGACCCCTTCGCCACTTGAACCGGTATCTGGACCATACGCTGTTACATGTTTGAGGTCAGCCGCGTTTTGATTCTTGCACTGCTACTGCTGTCCTTGTTATGTCAAACGGCCATTGCGAACACGGAGATTATCAATTTCATTGCTTCAGACGAGAATGGCGCTGAGCTTCCAGCATATAACTGGTAAAAGCACATCTTCTGCTTCCCGAGTCTCTTAATTACTAACTGCCTCATTTTTCTTACTAAAAGGCCATTATTGCATTACGCACAAAACGAGGGACAATGGAGTGTACAGCCCGCGCCTCTCAACACGCCTCTCAATGAAGTATGCGAGCCTGCATATTCTTCGCTAGGACAAGCGCCGTTCTCGTGTCCCCACGAGCTTTGGGTGACACTGCAGCTGGATGACGAAGGCTGGAGATATTATTCATATTTTACTCTCCGTTTATCATGGCCTGCGTCCGTACGTCTGTTTATTAATCCTCATTCAAGGCAATGTTATTAAATCACACCATTCTGTAACTTCATCAATGTTTCTTTCATTATTCCAGACCCCCGCGGATTTTTCCATCCAAATTTATTCCCCAGAATCTCTGTTGAGTCGCCAATCATACACAGAATCCAGCCGATCCTTGACAGATGATCATAACGATACTACATCCATCAGGTCTCCACACAAATCATCTGCTGGCTCCACCACCACTCGCCAGAAGTATGCTCGCATACGTCTCACTGATACCGGCGTCCTTAGCCCATCTACCTACTTGTCTCGATCTGGTGGTTTACCTCCACCAGTTGGCGATCCCATCTCATTCATCTTGATTCTCGAACCCCTTTACATGGGAGTCTTGCCGGCTTCAGTTTTACCAGTGCTACTCTTCCTGGTTCCTGTTTTAGTCGCGACAGCATTGGCAGTGCCGTTCAACAGCCGTTATCTCGAAAAACATGTCTCGCGAGCAAGGGTCGAAGTCGACGAGTACCGAAACACGAAGAATGAATAATTTTGACCATGCGGGGCATATCGGAGAAAAATCACGTCAGATACAATGCAGGTTGACCATCTTGTGATATTACGAAAGACTGGTACAGAAACAGCAATGCGTTATCTGTACAGTAAGGCGATCAGGCAGACGGTCATTGTTACTTTTTGGGACATGTGTGGTTATTCGAGATACCGCCCAGCTGATATAGCTAGACATCGAGACTAGCTTATCTCTCCTTGGCGTAATCTTTCTCGTTGCAGTCAGAAAAATACTTATTGCACTAACTAGTTCAAGACCGTGCTCTTTCAAAGGGTAGGTTTCGAACCACGCGTTTACAATCACACTCACACATGCTAGACGCACATAAATATACAATTAAAGGGAAAGACAACCAAAACAACGTAGCAGTGACCAATGTCACTTTTCGCTCACGTTCATGCAACGCTTTCTAATTCAACCAAGTGCACTGCAGCGAGCCAAGCCAGCACGATTTCTACCCGTGGGCCGTGAAGGGGTATATTGATGTTTAGCGGTTTCTTCTTGTTCGTCCCCGCTGCTCGCTCAGCCGCTGCCTTATCAGCTCTCTCTTTTTGCCTCGCTGCAACAGGTACCAGTAACATGCGCATACAGTCCAGATTCTCAACGAGATCCATGCGACTTCTGTTTGTGGGCGTATCGCAGCCCGGTGATTGTTGCGAGGAAGGACTAGAGTCGTGGCAAGTAGATGTAGAAGCACTAGGACGTGTGGAATCGCTATCACCTGAAGATGAGGACATGGCATCGATCGAGGGCGTGGGTGGCGAAGATGGCGGAGCCTCGATAGCCAGCCTGCCGGTCGCCTGAGCAAGGAGCGAATGAGGCTGTACGCCAACTTTCCATCCACTAGCAAGACGCTCGAGCATTTCAATGAACTCAGCTTGGGCCATGGATCGTGGGGGGAGGAAGACAGGATAGCCCTCCAGACCATCGACGAGCGCAGCCGTGCGTGCGAAATTAGGAAGCAGTGTGGGCAGATTCATGAGCATAAGCTGGCAGATCAAGATGCTAAAATGTGACTCTACAAGCAGAGGGTGGTACGTCGTGAACATAGCTGGTACAACCGAATCTACGGATGCTAGCCCAGCCGCTGCAGAGTGGGTGCCTGGGCGTACGGACTCCGTTAACAGGAATGCCATCTCAACTCTTTGTGCCAAGTCTGCAGGAGGGCCATCGCCGTTGGCTGCGGGGGGAGGTCCTTCCAGTGTATCAAAGTGGGCAAGGAATCGTTCATGGTCCCGCATGCTCTTTCGCACGAGTGCATAAATCTGCTCTCGGAAAGTTTCTTCCGCAAGAACGTGTCTGTACGCGCGAGCCTTTGCTCCATCACTACGCCCAAGAGGCCCGTCGGGGTTACCGATTTCGACACCTCCATAGCGCCCATTTTCAACGTAGCATAAGCGTAGCTCAGCCCCATCGAGGGCCGCTGGCGTTTTACCAATCCCCTCTAGTTGAAGTATTGTGGATTCGATAAGGAAGACAGCATGCTGTAGGAAAGCGGAGCCACGGAGGAAGAGGAGCTGTGGTTCGATAGGATCAGGTGCATCAGGTAAAACAGAGGGATGCAAAAGAAGTGGTTCTCCGTCAGGGCCTTCTATAGTGGTTGCTTCAGCTGAAGCACTAGTGCCGCTGGGTGGAGCCTGTCCATTTGATTTATTATGACCTTTTTTCTTCTTGTGGCTCTTGCCCCGAGACTCGCTTGAAGAAGTGACATTCCTATGAGCAAGCCTGGCTTTGCGTGCAGCACGAGATTCTTTGAGTGCATAAGTGAAATCCTTCGTAGCTTGCGTATATTCGTCGCGGAAACAATGGACTATCCCGCGAGTTCGGTACAATTCCAAACGCTGCGGTTGCGCTGCGATGAGTTCATCTAACAGCTGTGTGGTAGTCGATTCGGCCAGTTGTCTGCTAAGCCAGTTACAGATTGTGGACGTGCAACAAAATAAATACGGTACACGAACCTGGAAGGTATCTTTTCATGAAAGAAATGCACATAACGGGCATCCAAATCACCAGGGTCTATAAGGGCGATACCATTAATTCTTTCACTGTCAATAAATCATCCAACAGAAAGCCATCAACGAACCATGTTTGAGCACTCGCTCCGCGATATCGTCAAATACGCTGCCACCTTGCATTACCATGACGCTGCTCGCAATTTCATCCGCTTTATAAGCCAGTGCAAGCTTCTGCACGGCAAGCGCCCGTAATCGATGTACCCGCATAGCACTCATGGCAACGTTACGACCTCCAGCATTTTGCCCCGATCCATCGAGCCCCAAAGCCTGTGCAGCAGCCCATGCGCCACCACCTCCACCGCCAGCACGCATAGAACCGAGAGCAGCAGCAGAGAGCCCAGAGGTTGCACGAACGGAAAGCTCCGCTGCTTCGTCGATGAGTCTCCGGATAGCGGTGACACTGCGAAAGACACCCGGATCGATGGGAGGAGGAGTTGCCTTTCCTGGGGAAGGCAAGGGGAATGGTGCCGGTGCTGATACGGTAGAAGTGTAGGTGGCAGGAAGGGGTGTGAAGGTGCTACGCGGGGAGTCGGGCGGTGTATGATCTGCTAGAGAATGAAATCCACGATCACGGTCGCGCATGCGAGAGTTTTGGATAGTGTGAGAGTAAGAGTGAGAATGGTGAGTCGACGAAGGCGGGGGCGGGGGGAGAGCTGGCAACCTTGTTTCCGGTACAGAAAGGGTAGCTGGATCCAGGTTGAGGACAAGCAGGGACTCCAAAAGTTCTAGGGGGAGCTGGAGCCATGGACCCTACAGAAACACAATAATCATAATGGCAAAACATCAGCTACTATCTACAGGAGTAGAGAAAGGACCGAATAAACGTACATGGTAGGAGCTGATGTACCTCCAATGTTTGTTTCTGCTGATGCATAGCACCGAAGCACGGTCACGTTCGACATCTGCAGTAGGAGCACCTGAAGGAGACTCCTTTGCTTTAGGCTTCTTGCTCTTCTTCTTTTTCTTCTTCTTTTGCGTCTGTACGAGGGCGTTCTCGTTTGTAGGCGATAATTCGTCCGAGTTATTTGACGGCGGGGGTGTCGAAATTTGAGGATTGTCGTTATGTGTGCTTGCAAGTTTGTCAGGTTGGATTAGACCATCCTTGTCCTCCAAGTGTGCCCCGTCCAATGCAACCGACATTGTGAATGACCAATATGATGGTCACCTTATTTTCCGGACACGCAAGATATTTTCCAAGAGCTAGAGGCTGGTGATGGTTTAACTGACAACGACCTCGAGCTCTGAGCTTTTTTATTTTGGCTCCTACGAAAAGCTAAAAGACCATTTACGTATAATTGTTCTCACGGCCATCCATATTCCATCGTTGGACCAAAAACAGAGAGCAAGCTTTGTATCCAACTACCACCATTAATATTGTCATTGTCGCCATGTAACAGAGTCAATTTGTACTTTCCATTTAACGAGAACGGGGTATTCGACTTTCTTCAAGGCCACTGCGGGCTAATTTATAGTACAAATCTATATCTATTTCCTAGTGACCCTGGTTTTCCTAGTGGACTTTCTGGTGGGAGTGCGACTGGAGGTGGGCTTAGAAGTATGCCTATCGCCTTCAACACTGTCTTTGGAATATGGTGATTTTGTGCGAGTATTGGTGGCCGCGGTCTGCTTTGCCTGGTTCTCGCCCATGTTGCTGACCTCCAGATCGCCGCTGTCCACCTTTCTGCGACTGATCCTAGGCTCCGCAGACTCTTCGCGCTTGCGCTTGACATTCTTGCAGGCGGCAGTGGGTATCTCATTATCGTGCTTATCGTCATCAGCGTTGCCACGTTTGTCTTCTGTACCCTTCGACCTGTCAGCCGTGTCTTGGGCGCCAGTTTGTGCCTTTTCGTCTTTTTCCAAACTCTTGATTGGATCCTGCGAAGTATTGATTGAGAATTATTCATACAACAGATTTTCTCTTGTGATATCTCACATGACCCCAGTTCCTAAGACTGAGAATCAAGTCAGTGCCGTACTCACCGCAAGAGGATAGCTTATTACTGGCAATGTGACTTACCTGATGGTGCTCTTCGTCTTCTCCAGCTCCTCCTTCGTTTTGGTCTCCTTTAGGTGGTCCTCTTGCGCCAAATGACGGCTGTTGTACCTTGGCACTTCGGTTTAGTAAGAATGCCTGACAGGCGATGTACGCTGGGAAGAACACACCCCACCACCTTGCGCATGTGGTCCAAGTCTTTCTACGCGTAAGGTTTAGTCCCGACTGTCATCCAACTTGGGCGATTGGCCAGCTTTCTTACCTCCTCGTACTCGTCTGGATCCTTATCTGGGTTCTTTTTCAGGATCTCTACTATTTTATGGCCGCTCTCAAGGCCCACGCCGGTGCCAGCCTGATGGCTTTGATCCGACTCGAGCCAAGGTTCGAGCTCGTCGAGTGACATGTTGACTTGCTCGTTGAACTTGGCTATAGTTTCCTTCTCCGGCTTAACCATGTTGCTATATTTCCCCAATAATCCTGGCGGGAATGACTGTGGGTGCGATATAGCCGTGGGGCGAGAAAAGAACCTGAGATGATGATTGCAACGCCGCCATTGTTTTTATGCGCACCATCGGAGACGTCATTGCATTCCAGACCAGCATATCACATTTGTAGTTGAAAGCCTTGTGTGTAAAATTTAGGTGGTATGTTCTGCATTCGATGTGGTGATGCGACAGAGTGCTTTGTCTTATGTTTTTTCTGTTGTAGATAACCAGACACCCAAATTATCTACATGGTCCACCTGATCATATCGTTATCTAATGCATGTTATCTATGCGAGATGCCGTAAATACCAGATAAGCGCCCTCCAGGCATCATTCTCAAGCCTCCACTGCAGTATATAAGTAGCAGCCCCATTCTCGACTCGCCAGTGGCTTATCTGCCTCACCCGAAATCCGCGTTCCGTCTCTCCAATCATGGCCCCTACAGCCCTCCCCGCCCCTGCAACCACCATCCACGAGACTGTCAAGGCAAAGCCAACAAAGTTTAACCACCCTCTCGACCCTCTCACTCCCGATGAAGTCTGTACATCTTTATCAAACTTATAAGTCTCGTGTCTGATCTTCTCTGCCTGTAATAGATCAAGTCTGTTTCACTCGCCGTAAGACATTATACTGCCACCCAGACGCCCATCAAGGCTGTCCGCTTCATAACCTGCTCTCTCCTTCCGCCACCAAAGAAAGCCGTCCTCGCTGCTCTTGGCATATCTCTCACCCCAGGGGGAAAACCAGATCCACTTACTCCAATAATCAGAAAGGCGGAGGTAGACGTGAGTACCATTACCTGTGCTCTACGTCAAATTGGGTCTGATATCAAATCGTCATTGTCAAGTTCCTTGATGTCGTCGAAGGGTACGTTTGTTCCATTTTGATCTGTCTAATCATATGCCCAAGTTTTGAATTAGCGGGAGTTATAATACCATCTTATCCCTCAAGGACGGTGAATGGCATGTCGACCTCTTCGAGAAGCTCCCTGAAGGAACAGAGCCGCAGATCACTGTACAGGAGCTTGAAGCATGCGAGCGTATTGTGCGCAATGATCCTACTGTGCAAGCCGCTGCTAAAGAAGTTGGTATGTGTCTGATCACCTTCTCTTTAACTGTGGAAATGTTGAGATGATATACACCAGGTATCCTCCCTGAGCAAATTTTTGCGGATGGCTGGTCCATTGGCTATGACGACCGTTTCCCAAAGAACATCCGGCTTCAACAGGCACTTCTGTTTGCCCGTTTCTCCCAGCATGATAACCTCTATGCACATCCTCTTGTACGCATTATCTCCTCACATATTGATTTCTTATAAATATGTAATATCCATGTGCAGGATTTCGTTCCTGTTATCGACTCTATTGCAGAGAAAGTTGTCCATATCGATTTCCCTCCAAAGTATACCAGGTCCGCAGATGGCACTCCAGTATTATCCGTAGCCACTACTGCTGCGCCTCCCCTTTCCGATGTTTCTTTCACAGCATCGAATCGCGAACGTGTCCCACCTCCACGCACTGCTTTCGACTTCCTCCCAGATATCATGGCGCAGACGGATCCAGAATACAAACCACGAGATGACGTAAAGCCATTGCATGTCGTTCAGCCAGAGGGTGTCAGTTTCAAGATGGATGGCCACGTTCTGGAATGGCAGAAGTGGAAGATGCATATCGGTGAGCACTACTATCTCCGTTGTATTCTTACTATTAACGCATTGCCCCACGAACAGCCTTCACTCACCGCGAGGGAATCGCACTATCTACTATCACATACAATGACAATGGTGAGATCCGCCCTATCTTCTATCGCCTTTCGCTGGCAGAAATGGTGGTACCGTACGGGGCACCAGAATTCCCTCATCCCAGGAAATTTGCTTTTGATACGTGAGTTAGTTTTCATTTGTTCCCATTTTGACGTCTAACACCGCAAGTTCCGTTCATACAGCGGTGAGTACGGCATGGGCACAATGGCAAATGAACTTTCTCTAGGCTGTGACTGTCTCGGGCAAATTCACTATCTTGTATGTTATAGTTATTCATTTGACAGGTCCGATGGCCGATATACTGATGATGCATACGATCTGATCTACAGCCTGGTGCATACGTGACCCATGAAGGAAATGCGTTCGTGATCAAGAATGTAATTTGTATACACGAAGAAGATGCAGGCGTGCTTTGGAAACACACTGACTACCGTCCGGGAGGCCGTTCACAGACGGTCCGCAGTAGACGCCTCGTCGTCAGCATGGTGTGCACTCTCGCTAATTATGGTATGATAAAGATCTGTATCTCCATCGGTAGTCTTTCTGATTTCATTCACTCGTATAGAATACATCTGGAATTACTACTTCTATCAAGACGGTAATATCGAACTTGAAATTCGTCTTTCGGGCATCCTTCAGGTTTATGCCTCTTCTGATGGCGAACCAAGTCCACATGGCACTATCGTGGCACCCAACGTGAATGCACACTATCATCAACATATATTCTCTGTTCGCGTTGATCCTATGGTTGATGGGCTCTACAACTCTGTGGTAGAGTCGGACATCGTACCGCTTCCGAATGCACCGACAGGGTCTATCGCAAATATTGCAGGCAACGCGTTCATTTCACAGGATAAGGTCCTCACGTCTCAGGTCGAACATGGTGCACGCGACTTTGACTGGTCCCGTGAACGGAGATGGCGGATCGTGAACCCTGCCAGGAAACATTACGCATCAGGCAAAGAGGTCGGCTACGCCGTTATGATGAAGGGCGGGGCAACACCGCTTCTTGCATTGAGCGATTCGTGGATGGCACGCCGAGCCTCGTTCGCAGGAAAGGCCATGTGGGTAGTCAAAGACGTGGAAGGTAACAAAGGTGGCCGGATGTGGCCCAGTGGGAAATACGTGCCGCAGACCCGAGATGAGCCAGAGGATTCGGTTGGAAAATGGGTGAAGAACGGCGAGGGCACTATTGAGAACGAGGACATTGTTTTGTATCTTACTGTCGGTGCGTGTGCTCTTGCTCGATTGGAGTTAAATCATCGGGGACAAGTTTTGTTGGGCTGGCTGTTTGTGTTTTTGCTAACGTTATATGACCATTATAGGCACGACGCATATCCCTCGCCCTGAAGATTGGCCTGTGTAAGTCCACCTTCCAGTGTTGAAGCCCTTGTGTAGTCCATGGGATGGTCTTCCGAGTGAGCAAGTTGCATTACCCTGTTTGCTAATGTTTCTGCCCGAGATAGCATGCCCGTTGAGCACGTCAACCTTTTATTCAAACCTAATAACTTCTTTTCGAAGAACCCGAGTATGGACGTACCGGGAACGAAAGACCCTCACAGTGTCCCTGCATTCTCAAATAGCAATGGTGTTAATGGTACGAATGGACACCATGAGAGCAATGGAACCAATGGAGCCAACGGGACCAATGGACAACCGTGCTGCTCAAATTGATAAGGAGATTTATGACATGTCGTATGAAATCATGTATCTTGGACAGCGATGGAAAAGGGGGCGTATGTATTACCACAACATGTTGCTTCTATTATCTGGCATTGTATGTATCGCTAACTTACTATTGTCGTTATATATTGCCATCCTTTTATATATGCTTCTGTACGGAGAAGATTGAAGCGAGTACAGCATGGCTTCATGGTCACAAGTTCACTTATGGATGACAGCGTGTACGCATTTGAGACAATTCTAGTCCGTATCTACTGGAAGTTGACACTTCAGCATGGAGTTCGGGATGAAACGATAAACTTACCGACCGCCAAATGGCTTCGTAGTCGTTTTGGAGTCGGGCTCTTCTTCCTCGGATGCGAGTACACATAAGACGTGATAGTGCGATAACTTGAGAGGGAAAGGCCATTCTTAGAAACTAAGCCCTTGCATCGTTGGTCTCTTCGCATCATCCTCCAACTTCCATACCTGCCTCTTTTTCCCCTGGTGCGTTTGAAGTTCGCTCTCATCAGCAGCATCGGTTATATCTGCCGCCCGCATACTTGGACGAACTCCAAGTGATGCACAAACAGCTTTGTATCGCGAGCGAATCTGTGCCTGAAGTTTCGATATGTCCACCTCTGGAGTAGACGGAGTGGGCTGGGAAGAGGGGTTCACGCTAGGGAACTGAGATATGAGCTCTAGAAGATGTTTGATGTGATGGACAGCACGCCTAAGTATCAAGAGAAATATAACTTATTATGAGCTATACGTATTTGTGAAAAGAGGACTTACTCTTCGCTCCGACCTTGATTCGTGTATATCTTCAGCCAGGTATTCGCGAAACCTTCGTAAAACCCGAGCTCTTCCCAGATTTCAAAGCCTTTTTCCCGCCCAAGAGCACGTCCTTCTATCAACCCATGTATGCGACCATGCTCAAATCCATCAGCATGTCCTGAGTCAAAGAATCTGTAAGATCGCGCATTTAGATTTCGGATAATGGCAGATAAGATGGTAGAGTGCAGACGTCTGTTCAAGATGTACGAGAGATTCAAGGTCGAAATCGTCTGCCATTGATAAAAGCAAGTTTGGGAATGAGAGAGGTGGAATTGAAGTCCAAGCAAACGTCAGCCTGGCTGATGTGACTTGCTAGAATAATACACCCTTGCTATATAATCACATCCGAAAATGGATCTTACTGCCAGAAAATACAACATCCCTGATCTTGCCTTTGATAATGTTCATCCAACCTATGAACTACTTTGCCATAATACAGTGCATTTTATACATGTGATACGACATTATGTATACAACACTCATTGGAAAAGGGTACAAATATATCTATAAGCTTTATCGCATATCGCACATACATCATCTAATCACCACCTTTCTTTTTCTTGTCCTCGACAACATCCACGTTTGCAATTGGAACACCTTTCAGCACACCAGCACCATTCTCGATGAGCTCCAGCACTTCATCGGCTACATCGCCCTGCACGACGATCTCGTCCAGTCCCTGTGCGTTCTTCGTTACTGAAGCGCCAGTAGCAAACTTCTGCGCTAGGAACTTGGCAGCTTTCTTGAGATCAATACCTGTCCATGTTTTCCATTAGATTGAATCACAGAGGATGAATGTTTTGTTATAACAGACCGAAAGCTTCCAGTCCATGTATGGCGGTAACATGTTTCCGCTTGTTCCTTTCGATCCGCTTGATCGTCACTTGCGAGGCCTACATTATCCAGTTAATATTAGTCCCACAAATGCAAGTCACACATAAAAACCGACCATCTTCTTCTTGAGCAAAGCATCAGCCTTTGCTTCTGCTTTCGCCTCCTTTTTTGCGGTTTCCTTCTCCAGCTTAGCTTGCGCCTCGAGACTCAGCGTGCCGAGTTTATTTTGTAGGGCCTCTGTACGTGGATACGAGATCTTCTCATCAATGTGAAGTTATGGCGATCTGGTATGCACGTACCTTCAGAATAATATTTGTCGTAAAGGCTTGGATGAGCGTCATGTATCCACTCTTTACATCTCGTTATGCTGGATCCAAACTCGCAATATTCGGGTGGATATGTGCATACTATGATAGTAAACAAAAAGAAACGTTCAGATGGGACAGTGGGGAAGAGTTGGAGATGGGATACCCTGGCAATAAAGGACCTGCACTGGTTGCACTGGCTGTGGTTGTGGTTGCTCGGATGAAGACATGATTGTGGTTCATCAGAGCACGTGCGCAGTTGTCGCATCCCTGACACCAACTCCTAAATATAATATATACAGATATCGAATAAAACAATTCAAAAACATCTAGTTGCAAAACTACCACGATCCAATACACCTCATTTCTGTCCATGCATCAATGCCATGTAACATATTGTGCATTTCCTGCAGCTGGTACAAACGGTACTGCTAGTAAAACTGCCTATGTGTGTGTGCGTATATAATTAGTTTGAAATCTGCAAAGACGAGAAGGGTATCAGTTGCCAAGTGTAATAATCGAGGAGGTGAATGAGCGTGCAAGTAGACGAACGACAATCATCGAAGTAGGAAAATATGAGATACGCGATACGTGAGGGTCTGGTACACTCTGAGAGACAAGATCACATGGTCCAATGTATGTCCGTTATGCGTCTTGATCAAACCTATAAGGAACGCATTTTTAGTCTAGCTTCCTATCGAGTAAGGACGCCTACGCACCAGACTGAGTTCGAGAGTCCAGACTCTCCTTGCCCACAGCTTCACATTTTGCGCCGGTTCTCCTGTTTGCGTTACATCTACCTCCAAACCATCCCACCAGCATTTACGCTATAATAAGAAAACCAATTCAGCCTCAGTACCACACTTTTAGTGGACTAGATGACATACAGCAGGTTTTCTCCAGAAGAGTAACAATTTTTGAGCAGTTGCCATTTGATTGTAGTCGATCGTCACCGGCCGCTCGCCGTTCGGGCCTGCGGGGTGGTGAATAATACCCGTTTTGAGTAGCACCAAAGCTATCGAAGAAATGCAACACCGCGAAGGTTCGATAGCCCTGAATCCCCATTCATCGTCTCGATTGAACCCACTAAAAGCCATCTCATCATTAGCCCGCTTGATTCTACTATAACAATATTTCAGACAAACGCCCTTACCTCATGCACAACATGTCGATGAGATGTTGTTCAGCGATATTGTTTTCCTTATGGACATTGCGTTGAAGAGCCGTGAAGATATTACGCTTTTCCATGATGTTTTTACCGCACCGCCGCTTGATCTCGAGCAGCGCCTCGTTCGCGATACCATTCTCGTCCGTCCCAGCCTCTCCCTCCTTTGGAGGAATCGCAAAATACTCTAGCTCTTCCCTGAGCACGATAATAGCCTGTTTCGTGAGCAAAGGGTTCTGAGACGCAGAGGGCCCAAAGTCAGAGGGCGAGCCGTCGAGGAGGTGTTGCTGGGCTTGGAATAAACCAGGAGTAGCAGCCGTACCATAGAACGTATCCGACGCATTTCGGAAAAATGAGAGAACGTAGGCGAAGCAATCTGGATCAAACTAAGCGAAAACATGAATAATGATTCAGTTCAACCAATATTCGGTAGATATGCGCAGGGCTAACAGGAAAAGGAACGTACATCTACGCCATACACCTCCTCGTCCTCCTCGTTGTCTCCGCCATCGGAGAGAGCGACGCTCTGCCTGCTGAGGACGAGCCCGTTTGGAAAGAGACAGAGAAGGACAGACTCGGGGAGGTTCATGATAGTCTCTCTGTCCACGGAGAAGCGCCTACCGCGCAGGTCGAGCAAGAGTCTCGTCAGAAGCTGCGGCTGGAGATTTGTCTGCGCTGGGAACTGCGAGACCTGGGTTATTGGGGAAGACGACATCGTTGCAGCCGCCATTGTGTGCAAAGATGGAGGTGTGGAGGGAAAAAGCGAATCGTACTTGTTGTCTGCAGCCCAGAACCGTGTCTCGAGCCTCGAGGCAGTTCCCAAACGTCACTCGTGTTTGCACAGAACAAACAAATGTACATGGTCCATGGTCCATTGGTCCATCACATTTTACACTACACCTCCTTGCAAAAACTGGAGTAACTCTGGTGTGCATCAAGCATATTGATGTATTACATGTAACATTGTAATAGTTCTTGCGGTACTCGTAAAAAAGGAGCCATTCTGCCACTATCATAGATCGAGTAAAATGTTCATGTCTTGAACGGGAACGAGATAAGAAGGGAAGGCAAGGAAAAAGAAATATCGTCAGGTATCGTGTAGACAGTCCATTAGCACAACGCATCAAGCATCCGTGAATCTGTAGCAACCCAAGTATGACAAATATGGGGAGACGAATCAACTGCGCAGGCGAATAGGGTCCTCATGAACTTTATATGAAAATTACTACGACGGCCACAGGGGAAAAATAGAGAGAGTCCATGTAGAAAGAAACGAGTGCCAAAAGATGATTAAAAAAACCCAGCAAATGTTTAATATGCTCCGCTGTAGCCTCCTCCAGGTTGAGGCGGTGCAGCACCAGGCGGGAGATTATATACAGCAGACGACCGTGAATATCGGTTTTGAGGCGTCTGCGATGTCGGCCGTCTTGACGTAGGCCTCGCCACCCTCCGCACGCCCTCAGGACCAGGGACAGGCCCGTTATCAGCCAGACTGACACCGCGCCCAGGTTTACCAGGAACAGGCGGCGGCGGCGTGAACTCCTCAGGCTCTGTCGTATAACCCCCTGCCTCCTCGAATGCGGCAGCGACATGAGGCTCAGAAGATCGGAAGGGATTCTGCGTCTCAGCTACGTACTGGCTTGACACCGTCGGATTGCGCAAGACCCCACCACTTCGTGCGACCTGGGTCTCGAATTGTGGAATTCGCGGAGTTGGAGACTCGGTGTATGAATCGATGTAGTTGTCTTGTGGGCTGGGGATCAGCCGTGCGTGTGAGCCTGATCCAGGTTCTGAGATATACGGAGCATCCTCGCTAGATCGCGAGAGACCAACGGAAGAGGCGGATGCTGCAGATGTTATAACCTTATTGACAGAGAGAGGCGCAGGCAACGTCAGCAGCGTATTGCTATCGTGTCGGATACGAGGAACGGGAGGGGTTGCACTATGGCTCGCAGACTCTGTCGTTGATGAGTCGACATTCGCCGAGGGTGGGTGGTTAGTATCAGAATTCGAAGCCATAGAGTATCGATTGCTACAACCATTTCATCAGTTTCACAACCTATAAAACAAAAACAAAGAAAAAGGACACACATTCTCTCAAACACTGTCGAATCCCTACTCTGCACTCCACTCTTCCACCTCCTCTCCCTCTCAAACTCTGCCCATTTCTTCATCACAATATGCGTAGAATCAAACTCTCCCTCTTTATCTCCATGGTCTCCACCCTTATCGCCAGCCACCATCCTCGTCTGACCCCACGAAAAGTCGTCAAAGTGCCAGAAGGAATATGCAGGGAGAAGACCGTTCCAGATAGGTAACGAGACGAGGTAGATGATCATCCATCCCAGATACACAACCTTGCGCGAAGTGACAACGATCAAAACACCAGGCAACCCAAGCACAATCGCCAACAGCGTCAACGGGATAGTCGTGTTCGTCCCTCCAGGAATAATCGAGATGATGATCAAATAGAGCGTGAAACTAATCGCAGCAGGCAACACCAGCGTTCCCGCCAGTTCCATACCCACGACGAACTGCATCGAGAAACAGAAAGTCCCACAAAGATCCCTCACGAGCAATAGCTCAGCAAGGTTATGCACAGTCGAGTTGATCCATCTTCTTCGCTGAGACAGGAGAATACGGAATGTATCAGGCACGATCGTCTTGCACACGGCTTGCGGACAGAACATGTTCTTGCGCTTCGGGAACGTCTTGAGCAATAGTGTCGTTAGGTACCGATCCTCACCCAAAAGTAGCAGGTTCTTCTTGTGAAGTGTGTCGACAACGTTTTCCGAGTAATGTTCTACGATATCAGGGTTCGCGAGCACGGGCACCCAATACCCCGAGTCACCTTTAGGCGCCTTGATACGGTACATACTGAAGCATCCTGGCAAACAAGTGACACCACCAAACATGGCCTCGAAGCCCTTGACCATGTGATGGGAGATATAGTACTCGAAAACTGTCAACCCAATCAGCATTCGCCACTATCAAAGATACCATACGAAAAAAGGAAACAAACCTTGCATCATAGTCACAAAATTATCCGTCTTATTCGCAATCTTTGTCTCACCACACAACCCCATAATCTCCACATCCATCACCATGCACGATGCCATCCTCGTCAGTGAATCCGGAAACACCTTCGTATCCGCATCCACACACAACACAAGCTCGTACCGATCCGGACTCACACCCGTCACCCTCCATATCGAGTTGAAAAACTCGTACTCAAACGTCGTCATTCGCTCGTCGAACATCACTTTTTGAAGGAATCCCATCAACACGATTTGACTGTCTCGTTTGCCACGATTTCCAGGCTTGGCGTCACCAACTTCGAGTGGGTTCCCACATTTGGCGACGACAACCATCGGTATGCGTTGTTGCTTTGAGTGCTCGACAGTGTTGTCATCGTAGTCGTAGAAACCAGCATACACCTTTGCCATATTATGCCTCTTGTGTCCGTCAGCTATCGCCACATATGAATGCGGCTCCACCTCGTTCGGCTGGATCAAAAACTCCTTCATCATCGACAAGCAAATTTCCGGAGTGGTCATATCATTCCCAGCGCCCTTCACCATTCCATCCGCAATCACCAAAATCAGCTTATGGCTATTCGGATAATCAGTAGTCGCAAGCGAATCCAACGTCGTCCTCAGACCCTCCACACTCTCGGAATAAGCAGTCACGAGACAGATTGTATGCGCCAGAGGGAAATTGAACGGCTCATAGTCAGGAGGCGGTTGAGGAATGACGTTGTGCAGGGGGAACGGACATGGCGTCTCCACATACGTCGCACGCGGAGAAGCTGCGCCAGACCCAGACATCGTTCCAGAACCATTTTCTCCAAACGACATCGTGCTTTTCGACTGCCTATACCCAATTCCAGGTGATTCGGGCGGTGCCCCCTTTCCTGCCTTCCCTAGCGACGAATACGTTGTGCTCCTCTTATACGGCGCATCGATCATCCCATACGTCGTCGTCGGTCGTGGACTCGCGCCTTTAAGCAGATTCTCCTGAGGTGTAAACCGAGAATGGCTAGGCAAAAATGTCTTCTTGCTCGCCTTTCCAAATCTCAGCCCGTTCTTGCCGACATTCGGGCGGTATTCGCTAGGCGCCGGACGGTAAATATCATTCGACCAATCCTCAATTTCCTGCGATCGCTGCATACGCTGCTCATACGTCTCCCGTGGGAAATTTCCCAGCTTCCAGGAGTAGAACCAGGCGAAGTAGACAGCCATGACGAACCTGATGGCGACGACACCAATGATGAAGGTGAGCGAGAGATAGAGGACGACCTCTGAAGCGACACAACCAATGCTCTGCGTATCAATGAACCCGACGAGGATAGTGTCTTCAAGGCACCGGGCAAGTTGTTGCTGATTCGAGCGCATAAAGAACATTGACAGGTCTTTGCCATTATACGTCCCGTCCGCATTTTTCATGTCATCGAACAGAGATGGATAGTTTACTTGCGCTGGACTCAGCCATTGCAACAAGTCAAGGTCGAGAACCGAGCTAGCACAAACCCATCATCAGTCAAATCATGAGAACGCAACATTCCCTCCAAGACAAACTCACGATTCAAAAACAGCCAAATTCCTCCCCGAGCCCGCGACATCTCCCCAGTTGTAGTACACTTGTCCCAGCGGGTTCATCTGCTGGAGCCCCTGACGCGCCTGAGACGATACATGACAATTCGTATTCGATGTATACGCCGTCAAGTTCGTTGCAGTACTGGTCGGATCATAAACATTGCACGGGAAATACCAATCAAGATCATTCCCGCTTCCCGTAATACTCGAGCCGTTCGCTTTGGTGATGATCCCTAAACAGTTCTCGTTCGTGATCTGGAACAAAAAGCTGGCATCGTTCCCGCCCAGATTCCATCCTGGCGTTAAGAGCGGATTGGTCTGCCCGTTGAACGAGCCAACGGCTGGGTGCTTAAAGTTGGAAAAGTCGTAATCGTACCCGTGAATGACGACAGATGCGTTTTCAATCTGACCCGCATGGAAGCGATTAGGAGGGGTTCCGCAAACGGTCTCGGTGAAGCCAAAGGTGATGAAACCGACACCAGCCATGAGCGTCAAGATGATACTCATTAGACCCATCTTCTCGCGCCAAGCCCGTTGTTGTTCTGGTGTCTTGATGCCTAATCAGATGTGGGTTCAATCAGTATCAAAATGACGGTATATTGATGGCGGGGAGAACTAAAACGTACCACATGCGCTGAGTAGGAACGGCGGGATCCAGCATGTGAGCACGAAGCAGTAAATGAACCAGGGAGTCTTTGGGCCAGGGCCGATATTGTCCAAACAAGTGCGCTTCTTATCGGTGACGGTGGGAGGAGGCGGTGCAGCCTGGGGACGTTTACGGCGCAAGGTAGTACCACGTTTGAATAAAGCGAGACCGGATTCATGTACGTCTTCCTCCCTTGCAAGGAGGGACTTGCCGCGACGAAGCTTCTCGCGTTGCTGGGGGAGATTTCCGGTGGCTGTTGTTGACGGCAAGTGCGACAAAAAGAAGATCAGTCAAGAAAAGAGAGTGGGCGCTGAAAAGGGCAGCGGGAGAAGGACGTACTAGAGGGCATGACGCCCACCCTGCCGCCGCCGGTACCCTCCAACTGAGCGGCATGGGTACGATAATGCCATTGACGATGACCAGGCTCGATCTTTTCTCTGTCTGGCCTAACCAAGCTCTTCTTCCTGTCAACTCTGTCGCCATCTGTTGCATAATCGCCAAAGTCGCCGCCCTCTGGATCTGAAGGGGAAAGCTTGTTTTGGTATGCGGAGGGCATATTGCGCTGGCGCGATTGATGATCGATAGTGGCTTGACGCTTTCCGCGCTCTGTGTGCTGGAAGGAGATGCCGCGGGAGTTGACGGGATTGTTGGCGTCTTGGCCAGGGGAATGAGATGGGAATGGAGGACGAGAGGGATAGGGTGAATTTGGGGTGGGGGTGGGAGAGACGGGAGAGGTGTACTGTGCATGGACATTTGCGTAGTTGTAGTTGTGGGGAGGAGGGGGAGGAGGAGTGGAGTTATATGCGTGGGCGTTGGTATTTTGGCGGGGCTGGGGAGGAGGAGAAGTTGGATACGGATATGAATTGTTGTAGGTGTAGTCTGGATACAACGGTGGCTGCTGGGCCTGTTGGGGTCGACCAGCACGCGGGGGACGTCGTTGGTCGCGATTGTCCATTGTAGTCGTCCGTTGGGATCAAGGCAGTATCGGGTGTGACTACAAGCTGCCTTCGCCCTCTGGTGCTATGCTTTTTTGTGGGCAGTGATGGTACAAAAAAACAGGATAATAAAGGTGCGATGGCAAGAGAAAGGAGTGGAGGTTGCCAGCGAAAGTTTAGGCGACAGAGGGGATGGCAGAGATGAAGGGAGCGAGGGAAAGAAAGAGAAAGAGAAAGAGGATGTCACCGTAACGCTCGTCACCGCGCGAATTCGCAACGAGGTCGGTCAGAATTCGGACCTACACGCTCACTCAATAATAATTACCAGTCTTCGCATCCGTGGCCTTACAACGTACTATTCCAATATCCAAATTCCTCAGGCTTGTCTTTTCAAATCCATCACAATGGATAAAGCTCTTTCCGACGGGTGTTAGACGCTCCGTCATTTTCTTTACTGAGCAACGATTCAGCCCTTCAAACCGCAGCCCATCGCCGTCCCGCGCTACGTTTTATTTCCGTCTCAACCTCTCCCACTCACATCCTCAAATCCCCGTCTACCTCACACGCGAGGTCAACGTGGATTGTCATCATCCTTCGTGCTTTCGCCTCCACATCACCATCCAGGAACAACCTGCTCGGCCATGACAAGGCATAGCAAACAGGAACGGGGTCATCTTATAAGTAGCACGGATGAGGGCATTGCATTCAGATGTAATAGATATCATGGGCCGGATATGCCCGGAAATCGTCATTCGTTGGACTGGCACGTTCTTGACCTTTATCTATTGGAGCTCATTGACTTCTCCTACACCAACAACGTTGCAATGAGCAATACCCAGAAAAAGAGGCCCTCGCCTCATACCTCATACTCTACATCATAGACCACACCAACCCCATGCTGCAAAAGCATTGCGCGAGGCGCCTAAAACTTGTTTGATTATGGTTCCTGTGGCGTTCCAGCTGTCTGTTTACCGATTGTCATCCACTCGAGCGCTATGGTATGCAGTTGCCTGAACGTGCCAGGACAGCTGGTGAGAAGATTTCGGACAGCCCTTGTGGTATGTCGATGGAACTCCTTCTCATCGGAATCGGGATATTCTATCTACCCAGTGGCCGCAGGGTACGGGCCTACTGCTGTGTATCATACTTCTGCACCTTCCTGCATCGCTTCTGAACCATTATCTTTTACCTTAGAGAATGAGTTTGGACAACTTGCGGATTGATCAACCTGGACTTTGAAGACCTAAGGTCCTACCAGTATGCATCGGATTGATATTCAATAATTTCTCTTTCTCCGTCCTCACCTTTTTGTATAACATACTGCTTATTTCCAATATGGACATCATGAACCTCGGCTCATACCTTCCGAGTCCAGTATCTACCCGTGTCTTGCATTTCTCACACTTCTCACACTTGAATCAAAATCTGTTCCCCAGACTCGCACAACAGATTACCCGTGAAGGACATCACGCCATCATCCTCTCGGGTTTCGAATCCTTCGTCGATAAAGAACCGCATATAAGAACCACAGTTGTAGGCTTCCAAACGCCACCCCAAGGACCAACAAGTCTAAGATCGCATACATTGCGCATATAGTCCCGTTGTCGAAATCCAACGTTGTTTTTGACTTGGAGAAGAGACATGTCATGTTTGATGTTTTGTCTCTATATGAATCACCATGCAACTAAATACCGTGATATACCATTGCCTGACTGTGTCAAGACTCCGCGGGGCGATTGCGAAGGACCCAGCGGGCTGGTACGTCGATCGCGCTTTTCCCATCGGAATGGGGATCCTTAGGAATCCCAGTGGTGGGGGTGCCGAGTGAGTTATCTTACTTCTACACCTTCCTGCATCGCTTTTAGAACTCAGGCTTCTTGCCTTGAGAAGATGGGCTGACGAGGGCTATGCATGACCAACCACAGAGAGAATGATCATCAAGTGCAGTATTTTAGGCCCTGATATCATGTTTCGTGAATGGGCTACGCGTTGGGCTCTTTTTCAAGCGCTCAAGTGCTTGTTTTCTCCTTTCGGTTATTTGTATTCTAATATCCCAGCGCGAGAACACAGGTGTGAACTTCTTATGACTTTGACTCGGGTGTAACCTGAGATGTTATGCTATTCACTTTCGCAGCAACATGATTTGGCATCCTGATCCCAATACCTGCAGCAGCGGCCAGAATTTCACGCCAAGAGCAGCATATACATCTTGACGAGCTGGCTATACTGGATGCACTAGTACCTGTGATAACATGTTTGCACTAGCGTCTGACTCGGAACACGCAACTGACAAAGGAAAGAAGAAAGACACACGACTTTGAATACTGTCTGATATTCACATTATTTCTGTAAACAATATCTATCTCGTAGGCAGGTGTGAGGACCAGCGTGCACGCTAATGCAGAATACGACAGCATAAATAAGTGGTGGGTTCATAATCATAGAATGCAAACGGGTTGATCATGCAGACTTCTGAAGGAGGTTCTTCAGGCATCTGCAACAACATTTTGATACATGTATTGAGGCCTTCGGATATTAGTGGATCAGACTTTGAGACTCTAGGGCTTCCGTTCGACAAAGGTCAAACAGAACACGAGATGAGAGGATGCTATGCATTGTGGACTGTAACCTGTGGATTTCATGTCAGAAAATATGGTGGTGGATACTGCAAGGACGCACGTCACAATTGCAGAGGTGTATGGAACCTGGTGTAATTTAAATGAGTCCTATTACACCACCAGCAAACGTAAAATAGGACTCACAGGAGCGAGGACAGTCACAATTAGGTCGATCAGTGTGACCACTGCAAATTCGACCATCAGTAGCAGCAAGGAAAGGTTTGGTGCAACCTCACAGATGATACAACCAATGTACATGATGGCGTTGCGATAAATGTTCACGGTCATGGGGCTGCATACAATCAAACATAACATTACTGCCAACGGATACTCAGCAATGAAACACATTCATAGAATGAGGAGGGAAAACTCACCAAGTTCATACAGTATCAACACACCGTATACTATTGCGTATTGTCTGCTGGTAATAAACAAACAACCATCCGAATTTACTTCATATCTACCATCAGATTCAACCGAAAATCATTTAGAGAAGGGACGACATACTGTATCCGGTTGGAGCGTATTTTTCAAGTTCATTCGGGAGAATAAAAGCCACCAGGCCTAAGAACTAGAACTCAGTATGAGTATGAACTCTTCAATGCACAGGCATGATATCATACCACTGCAAATCCAAGAAGCCATGCAAGCATATTCTTGTTGCCTTTCCAGAATATATAAGTACGCTGAATTAGTAAAACTGGTGCATGAGTTAGAATATGGGCATAAACGATTAATTTGGCGCGAATGACCTTCTGCAGCAACAGTTCCCAAGATGGTGATGCCTTTTCTGTATGTCAGTAACAAAGTGTTGCTTTGGAGGATTGCCTACCTACCAAACAAAGCCCGGTTGAGGGAGTTACACTGCCAAAGGTCACTCAACTTGTTAAAGACTAATAAAGATGATTCCACTGACATTTCCCGTATGGGTTACCGTAGCAACTGTCCAAACACACTGTAAGATGTAGAGCATTTAAATAAACCAAAAGAAGCTTACAGTATATGTCCAATGCCGCAATTGCGAATGGTAGATACCGTGCAACACCAAATGTGATTCGTAAAGTATTCCATCGAGTTCCCCAAATGCAGCGCATCTATTTCAAATTTATGGTCAGCGATATACCATTCAGTTCGATTCCACAGAACTCAACAATTACCTCAGTCTCCAGTGTGATACAATAATCATATACCTATTAATGCTGTATCAAAACACCAGCGGTAGTCGACATACTACACCTCTCACCAAAATTGCAAACCCAGCGACTATGGTTACAGCGAACCAAGATGAGCAGCTTCAAGTTGATTAAAAGACTCAAACAATACACAGACCATTGAAATACTGAACATAGAAGTTAATTTACACCAGGCGTTATTGAATCCGCGGCACTCACGCTGGAGACCTGTAAGCCCCAAAGGAACGATATCGATGAAGAAGTAGCTGACATGTTATTCGCCTGCCAGGCCAGATGAGCGAAGTTTGTTAGAAGTCCTAACCGCCAGCCTACTGCTCACCTTTATACGAAGCCTAACAGGATTTCAGCACCTTCACTGCCACAATCATACACTATTCATGTTGAGATGCTAACCTGGATGCCGGTGCTGATCATGATTGTCTCAAGAAGTACTAGTACAACAAGGCTGTTGTGATGAGAGGCCACCGTGAAGAATAATGCATGTAAGAGCCTACGTAGGATTGATAATTTCATGAATCCTGCAAGACCACACCGACCCCAACAACCTGAAAATCTGCAATCATTGGTCCGAGAACGCAACTTATATGAACTCAAATTGGTTGACTGACTTTATAGATATCATCCATGTTCCTAATAATAGCGAGTTTCAGCCGTGCTCACGGGACTGACTAGAATCATAAGATCATGATGCTCTTCCACATGCATGGTTGGTCTCGGTATGAAGTATTACCATTGTGAGATGATCGAGGGTATCGCTGTGCAAACCCTGGTGGTGGTGCACTGCAACTGCTACTCACATCAACAAAACAAATCGAGCGTGGAATCCCTTTGCTTTGTCTTGGATAACCGTGTTTGTACCCTACCACATATAGATACCGAACATTGTCAGATATTATGAACCTGGCCAATCATGCTTGGCGTTATCCTGTCGTCAATGCACCATCGTTCACCGCATTATCGTTTCTTTACCGAGTCTTGCAGCAATTTCTTGTCAATATCTACCAATGTCAGACCAATCAAATATTGTTGCTCAATGTCATGCACCTCCATCAGTCATATACCTCATCCTCCGAAATGTGCTACAATGCAACTGATTAAGTTATGCACTTTGACAAAATGCTGAACAAATATATTATTATAAAAAAGTATGAAGTTATATAGCTATATAAAATTACACATACTAACAAAATGCTGAGTAAATATAACATTAATACTACATGGAAAAATTCAATACCTTGTCATAATTTTCTGAAAATTTAAACAAGTCCAGTATTTCTGAGGTACCAAAAGTTACCATTTTGCCAATATATGGAGCAAAATGTAAGTGTACCAAATTTGGCAATATCAAAATTGTGTGCCTTATAATATATATAATGTAACAATAATGAGTTTGTTACTCTGGCGCACATCTCAGACAGACTATAGAGATAAAGATGAGGGAGTGGTTACCCTTTAGGTTTCAACAAGTTAGTTGGAAGGATACAACAGGAGGACTCGCTGAGGAGTCTCCTTGATCTATTGGTCTATATATACTACTACAGGTTTGTTTGTACATGTGTACTGTACAGTTGATAGAGGCAGTGGCTGATGATGTCATGGGACTAGCCCGTGTGACCAGCTCCACTGCGTGAGAGACTTGTACCTAAAATAAGAAGAAAGGCAGCGCAGCGCAAGAAAGAGGAGTTTGAACAAAAGCGAAAGTGCCGCATGGCACAATGTGAGAAAACTACAGTAAAACATTAAAGAGGAGAATGAAAATTAAAGGTCCAAAAATGTGTTATCGTAACATATAATAGGCATCAGGCTGATAGTCACATTTATAAGGCTTAATAAGGCTAGATTGAGTATGAGGTTTTTCACCAGCAGTATCAGTCTGGCAAAGTAGATATGGAATTATAAGGCTACCAGTAATATTTGGTGCCGAAAAATGACATTTGGTTGTGACCTGTTAATTTGTCACAGCCTACTATATTATTTGCTATATTTATGAGTAACTCTTTGTATTTATGTATTTATCAATGTTTGTAAATTTTATTACTCCAAAATTCAACTTAATTGATAATGGCATGATTATGTAAGTAATTTATGAGCTAATTTTGCTTATTTGACATTTTGCACAAGCAAGGTTTGAACTTGAGATTACATGGTTGGAATCTTAACTGCTGCAGGTAATCTAACTTTCAAGCCATTAGACTGCGTGCCCATGTAATGGTTTTATTTGATGATTAGCTTTGATTATACAAAAACTTGCAAATTTTACTGTCCTCAACTCTGTTGTGCAGCCACCTACACTGTGATTAGTCATGTTTAAGCGCTCCAGAAAAAACACTAAAATTGTGTTGATTATAAGGCCTTATAATCCATGATAAAAATAGAGCAGAACGATGAAAAATGATAAAGTGATATATGTGATTATTTTAATGATACCCAAATCATAATAATTATGACAAGTGTATATTACCTGACAATGACTATTGACTTCCTATCAGGCTGACAACTCCTAATCTGACTCGGATTTTCCATTATATCACCGTGTATGATCTGATACAGGTGGACAAGTTTGGGAACACATTACAAACTCCGTCTGGTCATATCATTTCCTCACCAATTTCCTGATGCACCCAAACTTACTCACCTTCCTTTCTAGGTGCTTTGTACCAGCTTGACTCAAGACTTGACATATTTATTCCAAACAGTTTTGTGGAGTATAATATAAATGGATTTATTTGCCAATAATTATGAATAAAACAACACCTGATTGTCAGGCAATGAATACAAAGCTATATAACAACAATCAATGTCTGGCCAAGTCCTTGATGAGAGGTGGTAGATCAGAGTATGAGAGCTGAAGAGTATTGGTATAAGTGCAAATCCAAACTAATATTGAACTAAAGAACAATACATGGAATATCTACCCCTTATATACTGAATAGTAGCGGTCAGGCCAGAAAGATAGGAAAATACAAGAGTGGCCTGACTGAACAGTTAACCAATAGAAAAAAAGGGAAAGTGGCCTGATCTATCGTATTTACCAATTGTGTGAGAGAGAGTCTTGGTAAGAGATGTATGATTGGCTATATCAGTAAGCCCATGAGAAGGCACTGAGTCATAGCCTATATCACTGATTAATATCTCTCCAAAGTATTCCTGGTCATAGCACTGGATCATCACTATGCCATCTGAGATTTTTTGAATATTTGCTTCATTTTTGACACCTGTCCAATCAACTTTGGTGCATGACACCGCATCTATCACAACACAATGGGATCCGCACCCGTGTACAGTGATTCTGGACCTTCTGGGCATGCAACCAATCAGTATGCTTTCCAAGTACACCTTGGTAGCTTAGTTGGTAAAGCACCAGACCATGAAAGCTGGAGTCCCAGGTTCAAGCCCTGGCCAATGCATGTTTTCTCATACTATAAACAAATGTCATAATTTGTCAGCATCTCCAAGGAGATGTTCCAAGAGCAGTGGGGCAATACCTCCATGGAGACGTTCCGAGAGCAGTGGGAGCACCTAATCAGCTAAGACATCCTCCACAACAGTCTCTACAACCAAGACCCGAACACTGGCCATCTTCAGAACGGAAACCCAAAGTAGAGTCAGTCAGTGGGAGGACAACTCCTCAACATACAGCCAGCTGATGTGGAAAAAGTCCAAATACAGCTAGACAGCTTGTCCATTGGAGCAGCTTCTGAAAGGCACACAACACCTCCAAGGAGCCACCAAACACCTCCGAGGAGACATTCAATACCTTCAGGAGTGAGTGGGACAACACACACACAAATGTGTCTACTTCCTGGAGTACCTGCACAAGTTCCTAAAAGAGCAGTCATGCCTGCTGAAGTCCTAGGAGTATGCAAAAGCAGTTGCCAGACTCATCCTGCAGACAAAAACCAAGATTATCAAAGGACTCTAGATAAGGAATAGTCTCAAAATAAGCAGCATGACAACTCCATGGAGAAACCTAACACTCCTAAGGTTCATGAAGAAACATCTGATACAGAGGAGACATTCTTTGCTGGAATAATAAGTACTGGTCTATCTAACGGACCTTCCAAAGACACTAAAGGAAGCCCTATCACGTCCGGATGGAGAATTATGGAAGTCTGCTTTGGAAGAGGAACTCCTAAGTCTCAATACTAATGCAGTATATGACACTGTCCCACTTTTGAAGGGAGTAAAACCTATCACATCAAAACCTGTGTTCCAGATTAAGTTTGATCAAAACAGAAACATTGAGAGATACAAACTCCAGATTGTTGCACAAGGTTTTACTCAAATGGAGGGGATTGATTACCAGAAAGAGAGCTTGCTCCAGTTGCAAACTTGTAACAACCAAGAGTTAGTTACTCTGGCGCACACAGGAACACACTATAAAGGTAGTGGAAGATGGGGAGTGGGTACCCCTTGGGCTGCAGTGAGTTAGTTGGTATACAACAGGAGGACTCGCTGAGGAGTCTCCTGGATCTATTGGGGTATATATACTACTACAGGTTTGTTTGTACATGTGTACTATACAGTTGATGAAGGCAGTGGCTGATGATGTCATAGGGCCTAGCCCGTATGGCCAGCTCCACTGCGTGAGAGAGTTAAGTCTAAAAGTAAAAGAAAGGCAACGCGGCGCGAGAAAGGGAAATGCCGCGTGGCACTTCAAGTATAAAGTTAAAGCGGAGAATAAAAAGGAAAGGAGATGTCCGGAAATTGTGTTATCGTAACAAAACTTAGAGTTGATCCGGATTATTCTAGCCCTGGCAGCAAAGTACAACCTGGGACTTGATCAAATGGATGTATCCACAACTTATCTCAATGAAGAACTTGAAGAAGAACTGTACATGCTTCCCCAATGGGGTGTTCCTATCCAACCTGGATACTGCTGGAGGTCGAAAAAATCCATCTACAGATTAAAACAAGCTGATCGTACTTGGAACAAAACCTTTGATTGCAAACTCCAGGAGCTCAGTTTTACAAGACTAAATGCAGAAACATGTCTCTATGTATTCCGGGACAATAAACAAATATGCTTTGTTGTTGTCTATGTAGATGACCTCCTCCAAGGAGCTTCATCCCGAAAATTCACGGATATCACAAAAGCCAAACTTGAATCCATATTCAAAATATGGGACCTTGGAGAAGCAAAATACTTTCTTGGAATAGAAATCCAATGTGATTGTTCAAACAAAACAATCTCTCTATTGCAATGCCAATACATTGACACAGTCCTGGAGCGTACTGGAATGAAGAACTGCAAACCAGTATGGACACCAATGGCCCATGGATCAAAACTCCTTGCAAATGCTCCAGGGGAAGATATTGTGCAACATAAGATGCGTATTGAAGGGCATTGAGTGTGTGATATCTTTCAACTGTAGGCTCTCTCATGTATGCCATGCTCAGAACCCACCCAGACATTGCCTACATTGTTGGAATACTAAGCAAACACAGCTCAGCTCCAAGGAGCCATCACTGGGAAGCTGCCAAACATGTCCTCCAATATCTGAAAGCAACCAGGGACATGGAACTACAATATGATGGCACAGATGTCTCCATGGACATGGATTTCTATGGATATTTGGATGCGGATTGGTCTGGAGACCCAGACATGTCTCGATCAACATCAGGGTTTGTTTTTATCACCATCCGAGGAGAAATCTCCTGGACAAGCAAAAAACAAAGCATGGTAGCTTTATCTTCCATGTGACAAAACCGGATAAACCCGGTCTCTGCCAAAGCAGCCATTGTTTTCCATGGAGCATAGCCACCACTCCATGGAGTAACCATTGTTCTCCTAGGAGCACAA